TTGTATACGTTTTTGGTTGTAGTTTCGTTATTTGACGTGATATTATTTAGTAAACGCAAAGAAAAAATGGACCCGCAATTTTTGAGTCGTCATTCTGTTCATGGGGGGAGGGGGATGTGCCCCTATCCCTATCACTGTTCGTAGTAGTATTACTGTTATTCTATAAAAAGCGTGATGGAAACTATACAGTAAGATGAAAAGCAGCTTATATATAGAATGCTCAATAACAAAGAAACAGATAATCTCGAAATACAAATACCAACAAAAAATATATATATATCTTAAGGTTAAAGCTAGGTATGAGTATCCAAATACATTATATATGTATACCTGGTGGTTATGGAATCAAGGAAAACCTATGCTAGGCCCTACAAGAGAAGAAAAGAAAAGAAGAAAGAAAAGAAGAAAGAAAAATCTACACCTGACTGGGCGTGCCGTTCTCCCACAGTTTAAGGGCCAAGGCCCTGTAGGCTCATCATTCACAGGTCACCATCTCCCAGCCAGGCGATAACCTACACTTAATACAAATACCAACAGAATTTATAAATGAAAATACACATAACAAACACAATCTATGATAAATATATACTCACACAAAAGCCTAAAAAGAATTCAAATTCGCAAGTAATTATGTGAAGAATCACTTGGCTTGAAAAAGTCCACATGGAAGAAATCATGTCAACTATATTGTTAGATTGGTAGAAGCCTAATACACATGTAACCAACAATTTTGAAAACAAAATATGGGAAGGCAGGGACACCCAAGTAGACTGACAGCCAACGAGACCGTCGGCTCACGAGAGTAACAATTATCTACTAGATCGATAATTTCGGTCTCATAGACTGGCAGTCTCGTGAACTGTGAGATAACTGTCAGAACACATTGTCCGTCTCGACGTCTGTGGCTGAAGGTTACAAATGTCCACGCGAAAGACAAAAAAGAAAGAAAGAAATTAGATGGCTATATCACGATTACAAACATTTCCGAAAAACCAACCTTAGACTAATTCAATACCTTCATGCGTCGCCTTTAAAAAAATAATGTACAAACAGTACAATGACAATTTCATAATCCGACGTGATTTTCTTACAATGAAATTGCCCTTAAGAATTGATTTGATTTCTCGAAAGTCCTTGCAATTGTGTTAAAAGGATAGGTCTCGTGAGCTGTCGATCTCGCGGGCCTTCGTGTGTGTGAACTGTCAACAGAAGGCCATCGAAACGATGTAGCATTTTACATTGTAGGTTTCAACGTCCTAAGGATAGAATGCAAGGAGCCTAAATGCAAGGAGCCTCGAGGCAACCTCTGCTCCATGTCATATTATAATTATGTCAAACAAGGTCTTGTAAATAATCTAATGTTTCACAGAAGACCGTCTGCATGCCAGGAACTGAACGCCAAGACCATCAAAAAATGAAAATATCCTCCTAAACATCATAGTATAAAAAAGATACAATGGAAGCAAGTTCAAGTAAAAACGAGTCCCAATACCAAAAATGTCCATCCTATATAACAAAATCATCCTCTGTGTGTGTGAATAACATGTCACATGATAGCAAAAGACTTTCGAAAAATCAACCCAAGGCAATTTCTATACCCTTGTTTATCATGAATATAGGAAAATGACAATTACGTATTGATTAATTCGCATATAGGGGGCATTACAGTATAGGGTATTGAAATTGCACTTGAGTTGATGTCTCGAAAGTCTTTGCGATCATGTTCTGCTAGTATAATATGATGTTCGACGTGAGCACATCCGAATGGACCGACAGCCCCTCAAATCGAAACTTCCAAGAGGTCCATGTGATCGACAGCCTACGACCCCCCCCCCCCCCCAAAAAAAAAAAAAAAAATACACATGGAACGCTAACAAGTTCTATACCCTTGTAACAAGGTATAGGTCTCGTGGGCTATCGGTCTTTGAAACCCTTTGAAATATGGATGTCCCTATCCACAAAAAAATTATCACCATATACGCATAAAATAAATGCTATTTTAAGTCACTCTAACCTGATACATCCATTAGTGACATGAAAAGTGGTAGCAAAAGTTTTTAACATTTTGTGAAGAAAGAGATAATCATTAAGTGCAAAATACAAAATACTAACATGACATACAATAAGTATTTTAGAAATAAATAATGTACACATAAAAAATAGTTGATACACGATATCTCTGGTGGTCATTGAATCAAGGATACCTATGCTAAGCCATACCAGGGAAAAAAAGAAAAGAAAAAGAAGAGGGAGAGATATAGAGAGATGAGAAAAACTACACCTGACTGGGCGTGCCGTTCACCCATAGTTTAAGGCTAATTCACAGGTCACCATTTCCCAGACAGGCACTGTCTAAGCTAAACGTCAAGACCACCAGAAAATAAGAATGAATAAACAATTGACTTAAGATATTAGAAAAAAAACGCATTCACTGAATAAACCCATATTTAGAATTTCTGGGGAAAACTGATGATAAGACATGCAGAGTTCCTTAACCGGTTTGTCCTTGGATCGTTCAAATTGAGATGAAGTTCACTTCTTAACCGATGAATCTGCACACAGTGTGGCCAACAGCTAGGTGTATTGTGATTCATATCGTGCTCATCCAATTAGTTCCTCGCGAGACTCGAGGGGCCACTATCGAATGTTCTTCAATATTTAGCATGTTTAATAGGCGAAGCAGAATACTCTGTTCTATAGTTCAACCCCTAACACCAAAGATGCGCCATACCAGACCATTAAGGATGATACCATAATATAATAGGCTGGATGTATCGGCCCAGTGTAGACAGACACAGACAGTTACCAGATCGCAAAGACTTTCGAATATCAATTAAAGGAAAATTTCATTACAATACAACAACAAAAATCGGGATTACAAAATCCGTCAGGGTCTTGTTCTCACATACCTATCTAAATGTGATTGCCAAGGCTATTGTAATTGCCTTAATAGGTTGATTTTTTGAAAGCCTTTGCGATCGTCTACAGTGTCTTTTCAGCAATACATGAGATAATCTGAGACAGGGCAGTGTTTAAGAGAAGGTTTTACAGCTTGTACCCTGTAGTAATTCAATTGTCCATGAAAAAAGATGATTTGATTTCGTTTCCCGCTAATAATCAATTCCTCTGTTTGACAAGCATTGAATATGACATACTAGTTGTGGGCCAAGCTTCAATTATGTTCAAGGTTATCATAACCATTTGAAGAAATAAATCATAAACACACACACACACACACACACCGACATTGACATGAGGTCTCGACTTGAAAATAATGGATTTAAAAAAAACTTTGCTCATCATACAATAAGTAAATAAAAGACCCGTATTCTGATACCAGCTTTAATTTGTAACCCTCGACTAAAGTTAACCATGGGTTAACAAAGCTACACTTAAACTTCGCTTCGGTCTAAGTGTAGTTTAAGTCACTTTGGTATTCTGTTAAACCCAGGTTTAATCTGGTTTAAAACCTTAAAAATCGGTCAAGGTAAGCCTAGCTACGGACCAAAAACGTTTAAAGTGGAAATTCAGAGAAAATCACAAATATGTCAACTAATGTATCACTAGAAACTGGTAAGCTAACAGATGGCCATCTTCTTCTTCTTTGTTTGGCTTCCTCCAGTTTGGAGAACTGCAGTTAGTGCAGGTGTTGGTAGTACACATATAAAAAGGGAGGTAGGTTTACAGTGGCATCACATACATGTAGTGGAATGTTTAACGTGGAGGTCAAGTATGAAACTGAGAGAAAGAGATTGTGAAAGAGTGAGGGGTTGATCCAGTCAGAAAGAGAGGTGCGAGAGCAGGAGCCAAGTAGCGAGAGCTTTGTGAAGCATTCACCCTTCGTTTTCGTGTTGGAATAATGGCTCTCCCAGCGTCTTGGCCAGTGAGCTATGAAGTTGACTCTGAGAGTAGTGTAGAGAGGGCACTCACCCATCGCGTGGATGATTGTTTCTCCACAGGCGCAGCAGGGGGATTTTTCTGGGTTGATGGTGTGTATACGAGAGTTGGTGAATATACGCCACTCAGTAGCTGCGCCTTGATGGGAACTACCTGTCTCAGTCTAGGTGGATGAATGGTTGATGGAAGAAGTTTATGCGCTTGGTCAAGGTTGTTGGATAGGAGCTGAAGAGAGGACTTTGAGTTTACAGCTTCTTCTGTGAGGTCAGCTCTCACCTCTTCTACGGCATTTCTCATCAGCTTCCAGGTGTGTGGAGGAGGTGGAGAGTTGATAAGCTCTTCAAGAGGAGGGAGTTGGTATTGTGTGAGCTTGTCATCTAAACTCTTGATAGGGCAGGATGGCATCTGGCACAAAGCATTCACAATAAGTCTTCTTTCGAATCTGTCATGAGGCAGCAGCAGGACTTTACCGAGGAGCCGGAGGAAGAGCTTGTCTACCTCGTCTGATACTTGGGGGACATTGGCGAGTAAGGAGACTGCCTCGTTGGCTGTGCTGCGTGGAAGACCAAGAAGAGATTTAAAGAGATGACACTGGATTCTGTCAAGATCAAGAAGCATCTTCTTGGTCAGGTGTAGTATTTCTACTCCATAAAGCATTCTGTGTAAACAGTAGCGCTTCCAGAGTGCACATACCGTGCTTGGAGCAAGCCCACAGCGATGGGCACCAATACTCCTGTAAGGGCAAAGAGGTTTTTCCTTCCTCGTTAGGCCATTGCCGGAGTGGGGTCGTATGGTGAAAAAGTGCGAGTGATGCCTAAGGGGGGGGGGGGGGGTGGGTGTCTACTTGCTGGATGATGTCTGAGCCAAAATGCCATGAGAGTGCAGTACGGGTGCTAGAGATAATGGCGCTCTTCAGGGGGTTGATCGTGTATCTCCACTTCTTAGAGTACCTGTGTGTTATGTTCAGCATGCTTTGCAGTTCCTTGTGATTTGTGCTGACAAGGGCTACATCATCAGCTAGCACTAAGATACCTGTGAATTCCCTGCGCAGGTGGCATCCTGTGCCTGCAGATCTCAAAGCTTTGATGTGACCGTCAATGTATAAGCATGGGGAGAGATTCCCACCTTGTCGTACCCCTTGGGAGACAGGAAAGGGATGGCTGAGACTCCCCTACCATAAGACCATGCTTTCAAGTCCCCTGTACAGATTCCTCAGGATTTTCCACAGGTTTCCTTGGATACCAGCCTTCAGGAGCTTGTGAAAGAGACCATTATGCCAGACGGTGTCGAAAGCCTTGGTTGCATCCAAGAAGGCGATTTGAGTATCAAGCCGCTTTGAAGAGTTAATCTGTATGACAAGGTTGAGGGAAAGCGCTGTCATGATGCAAGAGTTTCTTTCTGAAAGCCAGATTGGGGGTGTCTGGGATACCCTGTTGGAGTAGAGACTGCTCTAGGCCAGGCTTGAGGAGCAACTCGAAGACCTTGCAGAAGACAGAGGTAAGTGTTATTCCCCGGTAGTTTTCTGGATCTGTGAGCGGTTTCCCTTTCCCCTTGTGGATAGGAATAACTATGCCTCCTTTAAAGCTCTGAGGTACATGGGTATGTCTGCAAAAGGTGTTCATGACGGCGCGACCTGATCAAGACCTCCAGCCTTCTTGGATTTGAGGGCTTGTATTGCTGTGTGAAGATCTATGAAATTGAAGGTGATTGGTGGATCCTCATTGTCAGAGTCAGATGCAATATTTACCTCTTTAGCTATGGTTTCCTTCTCATCAGCTATTCGATGTGCTAGCTGTGGTATTCTCCTTTTAGAGTATCTGTTGCGGATCATCAGTTTGAGACGCTTCGATCTCCTCAATCAAGTTATTGTTGTGTATAACAATCCTGCTCCGCCTCATCTTACGTCTAAAGATACGTTTGGCTTCCTTGTAGGACTTCCAAGTGCTGTTGTTACGGTCTTTGGGGCGACCTTTGTCCTTGCAGACTTTCCACATCTGTTTCATTTGCATGTACGCCACGTCTACTTCCTTTGACCACTCCGGTCTTTGAAGCTTGCGAGCTGAGGAGTAGGAGTGTGGGAGGTTGTCTCTGGAGATGGTCAGGATAACGTCTGTGAGGTCTTCGAGAACCTGTTATCCGTGTCTTGCAGTAAGGCAACGTGGGTCAGCAGGTAACTGGTACCATAGATACTTGCAGGCTTCTTCAAGGGGAGTTGTGTACCTGTTATTAATGTCCTCCTTGGAGAGATCCGTCCATTTGACCTTGAATCTTCTTAGTTTAGAACCATACTGCTGCTGGTTCTTGCTCATAGTTGCTTGTTCGGAGGCTGTGCTTGGGAAGATGATCTGATACATTCTTCGGCATTTTTGGTCCAATTTTAAGCTTGATGTAGGGGAAGTCTTCGAGATGTGGTGTGTGACCTCATCTAGAAGAGCGTGATAGAGGTGTCTGGAGTCCGTGGTGTTTCATGTTGGCATGTACACATTCAGTAGGATTATCTCGAAGGCTGGATTGACAAATTTTATGGACACTATGAATATGACTGACAAAGAAAGCGGACAAAATATACAGTTCCTCAGGTAGACAAAGGAACATCCCTTCACTGCCATTATGTACAAATGTTTAGAACAGGTGTCACATGCATATTCACTTTTTTACATAATAGCAGTGAAGGGATGTTCCTTTGTCTACCTGAGGAACTGTATATTTTGTCCGCTTTCTTTGTCAGTCATATTCATAGTGGGAGACTCCAATATTCTGTCAGATTCTGTGGAGATCTGTTTGATGTAAGGTTCTAAGTCCTTGTGGCAGAAGATGGCTACACCACCAGAGACTCTTCGTGATGTTAATTCGCTATGAACATTTTCATTACATTTACTGTAGACTATATGGGTATCACACAAATTTTCTCATTTACATACATTGCTATCATTAAGTGTTCCTGTACTGCAACAATGTCATTCTGGACCAACAAATCACATAAAGTTTTAGGTCAACTACATATCGGGTGATTTATAAAAATACAAATACAACCACCTCCATAGCATCTAGGATATACGAGAGATTCGCCAGAAAAATAACGATGTTTTAATGACGTCACATAATGGACCAATACTGTCCAAGCAGACGACATCCCATAAAGAATGAACATAATTGCAAAGCTATTATTTCTCAAATTATAATGAGTTTAGTGTATATAAATGTGATGGCATGTCAAACCATTCAAAAGGGGATATGAAACCGATTCTGATAACTAAAATATTTTGTTTGTAAATACACAGGATAGGGGTTAATTAGCAATCAAAGAATCCAGACTTTGAAATTGAAAAACCCCCGGAATGATATTAAGGATGGCATTTTTACGTCTTGAAACGCCGAACATACCGCGGTGTGTGCAGCTGAATATACAATGGCGTCTTATTTTGTTTACAAGCGACAGATTCCTTTATTTGTGTATCGCTGCATTTGTCATAAGAATGAAAAAATGTGCGGGGTTTAGAGTGAGGCAATAGATTATACATTTAGCCTTACGGTAGTGAAGTAAGAGAAAGAACTCGAAAAAACAGGCACTGAAAATATGTGAGATGTCATGGGACATCTTCTGCTTGTGCAAATCATGTCCATCCTGTGATCTCACACATCTCAGCAGCGTTCGGAGAGCTCTTCAGGTGCCATGCCGGGGCTGTATTTAAGCGTTTTGTAATTTATGATAATCGTTACTTCTAATGTTTCCAAGCATTAAATTTTGATAACCTTGTCGAATCAAAGTTTCAATTTTGCAATAATGAAAATAAAGTTAGATTTTAATATCAATGAATATCTACTTTAAACTCTTTTACTATTTCCCTCGTGATTTTGACATTTATAACGAGTTTATGAATTACAAACACTAAATAATTTTGTTGCTTTGTCACCTATAGTTACACCATTGATCTAAAATGAGAGCCATAATATGGAAATCTAAAACGTCTAGCACAGGCAATATGACACAATATTGGTAGTATCGGTATGAGAAAGGTTATACTTAGGATATCACCGATGCAATTGAGCACATGGCTACATCAAAAGGTTGAGACAATTTATTTGTTTGGGTTTTTAAAGTCTATAACACTAAACTGAAAATAATGGGAGAGGACTTAAAACTGGTGTTTTGTTGATTGGGGCCTACTATTTTGGGAAGAGTGTCCATTTATTGAGAAATCTATTGAATTAGCAATGCCAATGTTGGATGAAAAGGACAAACCACATAGACGGAGCTCATCTCTTTTCAGGGCTTTTATTCCTTTCGTTAGAATGTTCTAACATTGACAACTTTACCTAAACAGCCTTTTAACTTCGATTTAAACTCGGCAAAATGATGGTCACAGAGAGAGGAGGGTTGCCCTAATCAGAGAATAGCAATCAAGAGAAACTGGAGCATAATACAAAATTAATATACAAATATATTTGTCGAGCTTTAAACTACATACCTTTTTAGCTAAGAGAAAGAGTATTCTGGTCAGTCTACCCAAAGTACACACAGAAAAAGTTGGAGTCTTGATCATTTAGCAAAACAAAAAGTAAACTTTTTGGAGTACAACGTTATTTTGTGATTCGAAAATGAATGTTTTCAAACCTTGACGACAGAAACTAAAATAAAATAACTATTTTCAAGAATATTATTTATTTATACAATATTGTGCGATTTTACCAATTCATAATTCAAGACCAAATTAGAAAGTTGATATCTTAAATGTTTCATCTAGATTACATAGTGCAGTATGTGTATTCGTGGCGCATTTGCATGATTTAGCTGTCAATATTTGAACCAATATTAGGTTAAGGGTATCCATAAAAGTCAGACTTATAAGCATCACATTAAAGTTATAAATTTGAGAATAACGCCCAAATACGTAATAGTGTAACATTTCATGACTTTATCATACCTTGAGCATTATGTAGTATCAACCAGCTGATTTTAATTTGAGCACATGAGCAGACTTTCATTTTCATCAATACCTTATGAAGTTTTGAACAGTTTCACCAATTCAAACTAATGTATAAACATACAGAGAATATATTTTTTAAAAGATGTCAACATTACCGTCAAGTTTTTGATCCAGTTAACGCAGGTACATGTATAACCTCTCGGGACGCATCGATCCTTCTCCCAGTACAGGGCCAATATGGCGCCTCCTTTTGAACGCCATTTATGATGGTTGCCACTTCTGTCCGTTCGGTCTATTCTCGAATATACGCTGCTCTCTGGAAAGTAACGAGAAAACAACTTAATTTAGAAATCAGTTTATTACAAATTTATACATTCTGAAGGCGCTCAGTCACAAATTTGGCATCAAAATACAGCAAAAACTCTCACAATTTACCTTTCTCAACACAACTTGTACAGCGGCTTGGGCTTTCTCCCGTCCGGCTTTAACGTACGCGCGGCGGCGCCACGATCAGTGTGTAGCCGTATTGGAATGCTATTCATATTGGCCGAACACAGATTGCTCTTCACATCAAAATGTATTGTGTTGCTGAAAGGGGTAAAGAATGGGAAACTCGTCTAAGACGACACTTTTTTTTTTTTTGGTCTCGAAATTTGAAAATTTGACATTTGGCTCCGTTGGGGGGGGGGGGGGTTAGGTCATCTTTTTTTAGGTCAGCCATGGGAATAACTTTTTTTTTTTTTTTTTTAATTAATTTTTTTTTTTTTAAACCGAAGGGGGGTTATGGGGGGGGGGGGGTAAACACATAAAAATACCAAAGAGAGGGGGTTTAACCCCCCGAACCCCCCCCCCCCTGTGTACGCGTCTGAGCACATGTATGATTTTTTGCTATGTTGGAAAAGCTTTTGAAATGCTTTACAATCGTTTTGAGTAATTATTGTTGTAGTGAAAAATGCATTAAGTTTAGTTACGTTTGCATAGATCCCCCCCCCCCCCCCACTCAGTGTTATTTAGGGTAGGCATATGCGTGTTCCCAGCATCCCCCTCCTTTTCCAGCCTAAGTCCGGTGTGTAACGCCAATACGGGCTTGTAGTGGCAACGACTGAAGCCATTATTGTTATGCAAATATAGTTATGCTACAGAGAATACAGAGTTAACAAAAATTAAAGAAAACAATTGACAGATCATATATAGAAAATAAATTACGCTATTAACCAAAATAAATTTCGTATTCAAATTATTCAAAATCCGTGATGGTTGACATTAATTAACAACTAGATCGTCTACTTGTTTGTTGCTAAAATACTTTTTTGGGTACTCCGTCAGGGGGGGGGGGGGCAAGCAACCGAAACTAAAACAAAAAGGCGCTGCTAATTTTCACTTCTGGCGAGCGAGCGTTTGGTATATAAACTGGTATTGTTGCAAGTCGGGGGTGGGCATCAGGCGCGTACGCATTTAAAATTTGAAAATCACGTCGAAACTTTCGCAACGACTCAGCAAGCCGCTGAATAAGCGGGAAGGGGGGAGGGGGAAGGGGGGAGGGAAGGGGGGAGGGGGAAGGGGGGAGGGGGGGGGGGTAAGACAATTTTGCAACGACTCAGCCAGCCGCCGAATAAGCGTGGGGGGGTGGAGGGATGGGGTAGAGCATATTTTTTGTGTGTCCCCAAAATTGAAAATTTGGCCGATCGATATTTCATTTCGTGGGGGGGGGGGGGGGGCGTAAGGTCAGCTTTTTGGGGTCACCCATTACCACAATTTTTTTTAATTGAGGAGGGGGGGGGGGTTTCTTCAAAACACACACTTAAAAAAGTTTGAGGGGGGTTCAACCCCCAAACCCCCCCCCCCCTCCCCTGCGTAAGGATGGGCACAACTGTTTTCAAAGAAAATGTCTATTCCATATTCGCGAGCGAGTGTAGCGAGCGAGAAAAAATGAATAAGTCTCTTTTAGTAACATTTGGTACATAAATTAGGTGTTATTGTTGCCATGGTTGCAGGTCGGGGCCCGTCGGATCAGGCACAATTGTATTTTAGGAAATGCTAATCCTTTTCTTTTTTCAGGGGGACGAGCAAGTGAAAACAGATACAAAATAGGCTAGCAAGCAGCTCGCGCCAGCGAAGAGTTGCGAATTTGTTATATCACTTATATTTTCCTATTTTCATTTGTCTTTTTCAGGGCCGTATGCGGAATTTTTTTCTGATGGGGGAGGGGGAAAGATGCGTAAAAAGTTTTCGAAGAAACTCAAAAGCGAAAGGAGTGAAGGGAGTTTGAGCGAGGGTACTTTTGCATGAAGGATTTGGTATAATAAAGCCTACACTACTTGTGAGCTTTGTTAAACATTTTCAGGAAAAAAAAACTATAAGTTTTCAAAATATCTGGGGTCAACTGCTCCCCCCCCCCCTGTCTTTTTTTTTTAATTTCTCCATTTTTTTATTCCTTCCTTTTCTTTTCTCTTTTTCTTCCTGTTCTCTTCTTCTTCATTTTTTCTTTCCTTTTCCTTTTTTTTCTTCTCTTTCTTTCCTTTATTTTTTCCCCCCCTTTTTTTCCTTTCCCCCTTTTTCCCCGGCCTTTCCCCCCTTTGTCTTTTTTCGATTCCCTGGGTGCCGTCAGGGGGGGGGGGGGCACTCTCGGGGCACCCCTCCTCAGGTACCTTAGTGGACTCGACCATAATGTACAAGATTATATAAATCATTGTTACACCGTGAGAGTTCGCTCTCAAATTTCAAAAATATCTGTGAAGTCATACAGGCCTACTGAGACTATACCATAGAGATATATAACTACTAACACAAGTATATATCTCTATGGACTATACCGATCTACCAAATTAGCGCCAATTTATCTTGGTGCTTCTGAAAATACATCAGAACGGTCGACATCTTCAGGCCATAATAATTATGCTTAATGATTGTTTGCCGCCCTCTTGCTCTGCAAGCTTTATAATTATTTCGCGCCACATTGAAAGAGTTGCGGGAAACCGGAATTGAACGGAAAGACATTAACCAAAAACAGCTGTAGAATCCTACACCAATTTACATTGCGACCTTTTCAATGATTTTACTCACAGACTACAGACTGCAGTAGATTACATGGAGAGTGGAATTTCTATGATTTATACTTGTCTTTAACAGTGAGAAGTTATTCAGAATAAATCAGAGATTTTTGTACTCAAACGTCAAGTCAGTCAGATTGCACAATTTGTTCATCGCATCGCGTCGCCTCGTTACATAGACCCCTACAAAGAAAGAGGAAGCAGAAAGTTTGATATCCAATTCCATTTCAAGCTTCAACTTCTTGCCTTGGTCAGCTCAGAGCTGGGAGACCTGTGTTTTCGTCACATCTCGCTGGAAGATTTGAAAGCAAAATAGGCCTAGAGTCTACATCACAACATACATAATGGGGGTGAGTCAGAAAAAAAGACGATCGCATTCACAATAAGGTCTAACAAGTTAGATCTATGTCACTCAACTCTCTCATTCTCACTCCTCAGCTCAGTCTCGTGTCTCACTCTCAGTCTAGATCTAGACTATAACCTAGCTCTAACTTGTAAGACAAAGCTAAGTAAGACTAGATCTAGACCTACAGTGAGAGAAAGTTTGTGTTTGCTTGTTCTACTCTTTATGCATTCAACAATGGATGAGAAATTATCGAAAGGGACATCGAACGAGCTCTTATAGTGAGAGCCCAATTACTCACATCCACTTACTTGACACAATGCCGTCTTTTCACGCTTAAGAAATTGCCTATCTCTACATGCCCCCTTTGTAAAACCAACGATGAGACAGTGGAGCACTTTGTTGGAGTCTGCTCATACCTGGCTCATCTCCGTCAGGATTTCATCAGCAAAGTCAAGGAATGCCTCGTGGATTATCCTATCTGTTTAAACCTATATGATGATGATGACCCACAGCAATTTACTCCTGCTACTCTGTTACCCCTGCATCCATGCCTGCCTTCCGAAATTCATAATAACCTACTTCTACTATCGCTCTTTTTCCTACACAAAATTGATGCTTCTCGTTCTAAGTCTCTCCAAAGCTCCTAACCGGTCGGATTATAAACATTTACTTTATTTGGACTCCAGGAATCTCCAAAACAGTGGAGGGATAAACTAAGAAGAGAAGAAGAGAAGAGATGATTATTACCATTTTCAAATGTAGGAATTCTAAATCCTGAAATTCATCTGCTTTTTTATCTCACCACCTGGTCAACAGTTGCAATTAGCGCATAACTTTTTGGTGGCTAACATGGGGTCAAAGGAGAGCGGCTTGATTCCAGTCGTTCTCTATCACGTCCCTGATGTTGTGAGTCTTGTGAGACATGCACATGTGCATGTGAGATGATGGAGAAGAAAGAAAGAATCAAAATTTAGAAACCGTTGTGCCTGTAGAATATATGTCGTTACGTGTTTATTTACTTTTTAAAGGATGCCTTGACTGAGTCTTTACTATAAAATAAAAAATAAAAAAAATGCTGGGTATAATTCTGCAGATTCTGGCCAGATTAGTAAAAACTTTTAGAACATTCTAAATAGTCATAAGCCTAAAAAGGATACCAAAAAATGATTAAAAATACCTTCTTGATATACAATTACAATGGTAAGGTGCTATAGTCTACTATAAATAAAATCTGGCCTGAATCTGTAGAATTACCAAATGCTGATCTATTAGTATTAGTATTACTGTTACTGATACTGGAACAGTGACCGGATGCAGAGGGGACAAAACAGTCACATGACAACAGTCTCTGACAGTAGATCTCCAGATCTAGCTGTAACGTTACTCGTTAGATCTAGATCTACATGTAGTCTTCTGTTTACATGACCTGGCAATGATGCCTTGGAACTTGGAAGCTTCAGTCAATGCATCATACTCATCTAGATCTTGTCAGTTCTGCAGATCGGATTTAAATATCTAACATTACTTGTTAGATCTACATGTAGATAAAGACTATTCATCATAATTGCTCAGTATTAGAATGGAGAATTTCAGATTTGCATACTTATGTCTATTTTTATTTCTTATTTTCCAACAGCGTAAGAGTACAAAAGGAAAGGAAAAGAAGATGAAAAGGAAAGAGGTAAGTGGAATGTAAGACTCCAAGATCGAGTCATTAAGGAGTTTATCTTACCTGTTGACTTCTAAATTATCTTATTCCCATGGCTTAGCTTTACATACCGTATTAGTCATCATTCTGTTCCTTGAAATATTACGTTAAACAACAATGAAAAGGTATTTTTGGTATGTACATGTACAGTAGTAATGAGCACAGCATTTTACTTGTGAAATCACTGATTGTTTTCTATAGATCTACAAATTATATGCATAGGATTTTTTTTCTTCTTCCAGTTGATACATCAATTTGAATAATCTACCACATGAATATTATTTAGTACTTGTGCATTTAATATGCAAGCTACTTTCCATTAGAGTTTCTTTCTTTTTTCAACAGCTTTCAGTCATTTCCATTTTTTCTGGATAAATGTATCTTCATGATTTATTATAATTTTCAATTCAGGAACAAGCCAAAATAGCAGCTGCCAAGATCATAGTAGATGCAGCGAACAAAATTGATGATCCGATGCAGAACTTGACAGCCTTCAAGAAATTTGAAAGAAATGAGTAAGTTATTATTACGAAATACATGTATCGTCATACTTTTAGGCAAACTTGATAAATTTCTTTACTGTTTTGTTGTTTACAAACAGGGCGCTAGCACAAAGTAGCTTTCCTTTTATATTATTGGACTAGTTTGTCACAGTAATACTGTAATACGGTTTCACGTTACTCACAAACATTAATATTTCCTGGACAGCTACCACACCCCACCCAGAACAATTGTTCTCAGGACTATCCTCCTCTTGGCAAGTTGGCAGTGATTATTATAAAATGCACAAAGAGGGACTTCTCCATGTGGACATTACCTGGTATCTGTGAATATCCAGAATCATTTGAACCATGAGCTAATTACAAACTGGTCTATTATCTATGGGGAAGTCGTTGATTACATTTCATATGAAACAAGTATTGTAGTTAAAGCTGCGGTCACAAAGGTTTGTACGAACAATAATTTGGTACAAATCTCCCTGTTTTTCCATTGTCTGGAAATCGTTTGTACGCCGCTCGTAGCAGTTCGTAATGGCATTTGTGACCTAGGCTTAAGCATGCTGATCTGTAATTGTTATGGCAATGTTATGGTGTCATTGTTTTATTTTCTTCTAGTCTCTCCCTCACCGTTGAATGCAAGAAGGTGACTGAGCTGGAGAAGGATGTCACCGACTGGATCTTTAACCTCGTCAAGACCAACATGCAGTCATTGTGAGTATGAGATACCATGCTGAAAGTTCATCTAATCTATTGTGTTCTCTTTGAAATCACCATTTCCCTTTGCAGTCTGTGAGTTCTTCTCTCTCTCTCTCTCTCTCTCTCTCTCCCCTCCCTCCCTCTCTCCCTCCCTCTCCCTCTCCCTCCCTCCTCCTCTCCTCTTCTCCTCTTTTTGTTCTTCTCTTTCTTATCCTGCTCCTATACTCCTTCTCTCTGTACAGTACTTGGTAGCAGTAACCTTAAAACTGTAACACCGACCCCATGACAAGGGCCAGGGGCAACACTTTAACCATTATTCAAAATATGGATGTATGGTATTAAAGTATATATACATATATATATATATATATATTTTTTTTTTTTAATCTTTGAAATAATCCCCGCAAAATGTGATATCCTTGGACCAGAAGCCAGATACATGATGATACGTTTTATACATATGTTTCATTAAATCTTTATTTTCCACCATTTGTGCCGTACAACTGTTTACAAAAACTGTAATTACTTATTGTTTTTTTTATCAGATATGAATCCAGTGACTGGGGATGGAAGGGACGAGAGAAGAAAGAAGAGTTGATGCATGAACAAGCCTGTTTTGTGATCGCTAGGACTGCAGATGGTCAGCTGGTTGGATTCTGTCATTTTAGATTTGATGTAGACTTTGGTGATGCAGTCATCTACTGGTAAGTTAAATTATCAATTGATATTGTATGCCTTTTCTTTTGTTTTCAAGGCTTTCTCAAAGTCTTGTGTGTTATTCCTACACTCCACATCCACATTTGCCTAGTTTTAAAGAAATATTTATGTCTCTAATGATTTTAATTATTTAATACAGGTTAATATTTTACTACTGGGGCTTGTCTTTGTAGTTGCAAATGATTTCAAGCAAACTGAGTTCCTTCAGTTCAGTTTACTTTAATATTTAACACTAGAGTCAGGAACATGCATAAGAATGATACTTGGGAAATTTGCATGCCTCTACCTCTGAAGATGGTGCCGGAGTCTTTATGTTTTGGTGTTGTCCGTTTGGACATACATGTAACTCAAGAACCATTGAGCAGATTCTAACCAACCTTAGATCCAAGTATGTATAAGCATGATGAAATGATGAACTGATTGTATTTTGGGTGGAAAGGCCACTCTAACCAAAACGGACTAAAAACCGAAAAAAAGACATGTAGAATAATTTTTGACGGAGATTCCTAACATGACAATTTATTTTTCTTAGAAATCATCCATAATTCTGGAATCTAGCTTTAAAAATGACTACTCAGAACGCTCAGAAAGAAGCCCAGTTTCGGAGTTGTATTGCGCAACTGTTTATGACGTCACTGCAGGCGCCTCTCCAGTGAAAAGGAGGGTGATTTAGGCATTAAAATGTCTTTAAAAAAAGGCAAACTATGATATTAGTTGGGGGAAAAAGAGGTTTATCCGAAAAATGCATCTGATAATACCAGTACGTTTCTGGCAATTCTGTCATTCCTAATGTAAGATCCTTAGTTGTGGATCAAATCGGACATGCCCGCAATGAAGTAAAATGCGTCATCAAGGCCACGTGACCGTAATACCTTTTTTCGAGGGGGGGGGGGTAGCCCAGCAAGCATGAGAACTGTGAAAAATGTATGGTTATTATCATTTTTTGGTTAATTTAGAGATTTTTTTGAAAACTCAGAGACTGGAATATTAATAAGTAGAGGTGTATTCATGTTTTGAAAAGCTATGCTAGTTGGGTTAGAGTGGCCCTTTAAACATACCAGAAAATATTTTGACTAGCTTATTGCTGTGATAACTTGCATTCAAGTAATGAAGCAAATCAAACATTGGACGGTTTGTGTATGAGCGTACAAGGATGACCTGAATAGATTTTGGGTGTACCGTACATGTACGAGGTCAAAGGTGAAAGATCACAGGGTAAAAAAAGTGTTGAAAGTCCCAGAAAATATCCTTTTACTTTCATAACTTCACAAATTTGAACTAGTGTTGGCTCAAGTATGTACATGTATAAGCATAAAACAGAAGAATTTGGATTTGTGAGGTTAGATGCTAAAGGTTATTAGTTCATTGATTAATGAACATACGTATTAGAGATGCAGTCTCATTCATCTTATTCATTTAATACTGACATGGTAATTCATTTTTAGCTCATTTATCATATTGTTTAGCATTATCTCTTTGTTTTTAACCTAACCTAGGATCCTTTTCAAAAAGATGATTGAGCCCTGTCTATGCTTTGTTTTATAGTTTTTAATCACTTTTATAAATACAATACAAGTATTATCTTCTCTTGATTAATGATTCATCTTTACTTGACTATGATTTTGCCATACAGCTATGAGATTCAGCTCACACCTGACGTGAGGAGAAAGGGCCTTGGAAAATTTCTCATGCAGATTCTAGAGCTCCTAGCTTTCAGGTAACCTTTAAAAACTGTGCTTTTATAGAGTTATTTTCTTTTATAAGAATATACTGTAGGCCTTGCAATTCTTGCATTTTGTACTTTTGAGAAATGTAGATACTGTGATGGCTCGGTGGTAGAGCAGTGGTCTCGTAACCCTCCAGGTTCAAAACCTTCAATAATCTTTATTACCAAGTCCCTTGGAGGGGACTTAAAGCCATCGGTCTTCTGGTCGCTTACTATCAAGCATACACATGCTTTCTTAGCGGTGAGGTAAAACAAACAAACCAATAAAAACCAACAAATATTGAAATATGTCTGAAGTGCCCATTTTTAATGTATAATACCTATCTCTGCCAGTTTTTCACACTGGAAATGTATTATCCAAATTCAGATAACTCATATAATGATTAATATTTGATTCTACCAGAATTCTTTTCTTCATGCGCATAATCTTTCAATGAGAGACTGATAATGTGTAACTTCACTTTGTTCATGTTTTCTCCCCCCCCCCCCTTTTCTTTCCCTCTCTCTCTCTCTCTCTCTCTCTCTCTCTCTCTCTCAGGACTGAGATGAAAAAGGTGATGGTTACAGTTTTCAAGAACAATCTGGTTGCTACAAATTTCTTCACGAAAGTCCTAAAGTAAGTCGTTAGTTTATGATAAATTGACTTTTAAAACAAGTCAACATGAGCTTTATTCTTAACCACTTGACTGCTATTGGCTTAATACGCGTTCATACCCCTGTGCTACTGTGCTACTCGCACCAACATCTATTGGGACTACAACATCACTTTCATCCCCAGATCTTTCAGTTTCATCATCAAAATCACTCCCTAGATCCTTAAAGTCTTTCTGAAATATTTGAACAATCACTGAAATCACTTTTACTTTTGTCATCAAATGTATCATCCATTATGTTAGAACTTCAAAGTGAACGGCCGCCATTTTGAAAGTTTTTTTTGCTCAGTACACAAATACAGCTTACATAACTGTACACATAGTCTTAAAAAAGGCCGGATTTTTTTTTGAAAGAGCGCCAGCTACTGTTCAAGACCTGTATAACCTGTATAAGTGATTGCAGTGCTAATTACACAGTAGGGCTAGGCATTATGCAGTGCTACAGTCTTGAAAGTGCAATGCCCTAAGCATGTACATGTACGTGGTACGCACAGGCATGCAAGAGCGAGAGCACGTACATGAAAGTGGTATGCAGACAAGTGGTTAATAGAATACCATATAATTTGAAGGGTGAAGATTCTGATAGGGAACATGCATATTTGACATACGGTTGTGTTGTGTATTTTAATGATTAGATTGTACTTCTACAATTTTTGTTTCACATGTTATAGTAATGTATGCATTTTCATTAAATTTGACACAAATGTCTGCCTCTAAATTCCTAGTTTTCATGTCACTTCTACATTTTTATAACAAAATATGATTCATGTTTACACAATATAGAAATACAATACCCATTATGCAACAAAAAGTTTGCCCAATGGAAAGAGATTTTTCAACCCTACATGTTTCCCAGTATAAGATTTTGAAGGCTATCTTCATTTAAGATTTGCTCATTTGCAAGCCCGTTGTGCTCTGCAAACCACTTTTTCACATATTTTGTGTATTTTAGAGCACTCTAGAACAAAAGATAATATAGAAATGATACCATAAAGTAAAATAATACATTGATTATAATACTGATACTGATTTTAAATGATAATTATGAACTCACTATCATCTTCTCTCCCGTTACATTACTAGATACGAGATAGATGAGACATCTCCTAGCATGTATGACCCGATGAATGACGAGGATTACTGCTATGAGATCATGAGTAAAGATATCAAGACTAAGAAAACGGCCCCAGCAGCCAACTCTGAAGGTCGACTAGCCAGTGGACAGGAGATCTTAATGTAATGAAAATTGTGTGTAAATAAGTGTGAAGTCATGGCCTACACTCATTGTTTGTCATACAAATGGAAATATGAGAGGAAGAAGGGCCCAACTCCATCCAAAGCATTTACAAAATGTCAATTTTAAGATCAGTTAAGAGCAGAAAGATTTTGTCTTCATGCTTTGAAAAATGCATGTTCATGTATTAAACTTCCCTGCCACTGAAAACATATCTCTTAAACTTTCTCTGAATCTTTGGTGTTAATAACACAAATCCTGTTTTCATGGATTTAGGCTCTTCTTTGTTTATACTGGGTCCTTTCTGGCTTTCAGTCTGTAGATTCTCAGATCACGCTGGTAAGGAAAGGTGAACAGGCATGTTTCCAGACGTGAGGCTGACAGGCAACATTGCTTGTAAGTTCTGAAGATAGTAATACTGTTAACACAATGTGATATAGAATATCTCTACAAAAATTAAAGGTGCTGGGTTAATACATGAATTATTTGACTCGGACAGGGAAAATAAAACTCGATACAAATCAGATGAGCAAAAAATGATTGGTAGATCTTCCAATTTTTTTTATTTCTACAGACATCCATATATCCAGCAAAATGCCATGTCAAAAATATTTTGCAATTTAGGCAAACATTGGATTTCAATGTTCAGATAAAATGTAATCGAAACAATTTACTCAAGACTCTTGAGAGTGAACTTTGTGCCTTTGAAATTATATCTTCAGCCTTCTCGTGAAATAAGCCTCTGGTCATCACGTGTGTACACATAGCCATTAAACGCAATGAAGCGCTACGTACAAACTACAAAGCAGGGATAGTGTTATTTGATATGTCTCTGCACAAAGTGAATGAGCAGTGGCTTATTCTACGAGAATGCCAAATTTTCTTTTCCTGCTGGTCAGGAGTATAAAAAAAGCTCCAGTTTTGCAAGCCATGTGATGGGTGTACCTATATAGTTGGATTACTTACAAAACCAAATTTATTGGTGCAGTAGACCTTCATTTTCGTTGTCATTTGGTCTTCTGGGCTGTGCAAAATTTGATTTTTACTCCCTGAGTGTACAATGTCTTTTAGATCAAAATTGATTTTGTATTGCAGAAATTCTAGTTGATTAAATCGTTGGGGTACATTCTGGTACCGGTATGCTCTTTGCTGGTTAAATAAAACAGCATAACTGCATTGCTTAAGGCTATAGAGGTACATGTACATCTGCAACAAATTGATAATTTAGATACACAACTTGTATTCTTATGAATTTTTTGCACCTAGTTTGATGCCCATACAAGAAGGGTATTAGTCAAGCAGCAATTTATCAATTTTTTGCGAGAAAATCATTCAAATGCTCGATGTAAATGTTTAACTGGGCCCTATCCTTTAAAGAGCAGTGATTGATCGAAATGTATCACAAGTCCTTCCATCAATTGTAAAAATTAATTTGTCTAACTCGTATCTATAAGTACAGAGTTGCGATGTACTCGGATCGATCATCACTCTCCGTAAGACAGGCCCAGGTTTGTTTTATTTCATGGTGTAGGAACTGATCATGTTTTTTTCCTGAACTTTACAATTTATCAATTTTCAGAATATTTAAATTTCTGCTAATATTAGTTTATTGAATTGTGGCATTAATGACCATTTCCAGTTTTTCCACTATGCTTTAAGCATAACAAATTTTCATTTGTATGTCAGATACATGTATCATGTCTAGCAGGATAACACATGGGTGTATGACCATTGTAAATATGTAATTTTGTATTAAAGTCATTGTTTACATCATGTTAATGTGACTGTGTCTTAATGTGTCTTAGGGATCAGGCATAGTCTCTTCTCTTCAAAAATTTCCTTCTGTTGAAAAATAGAAAACTAATGCCTAGAAGATAGAAACATGCGATTGTGTGGTATTAATGTAAATGAATCTTTCTCTCACTTTTTGTCCCTCTCTCGTTCTCATCTGCTCTTGTCCCCATCCATCTTTCATTCTCCTGTCTTTTGATTAATCTCTTACAATATACAACTTTTCTGATCAATGATTAATGAACACATGATTGATGACCAAAGAGAGATACATGTGAGATTGATAGAGGAAGCAGACTTCCACTGAGAGATAATTGGAGTTTAAGGATACATGTATATTAATTTCAGACATATTTTGATTTATTTTAAGACACATTGATTGTTATTGTGTACATGGAGAAAGGGGGATCTAAATTGAAAGTATAGAATAAAACATAATGTCTGAGAGAGAGAGAGGGGTGAAGATGGAGAGATGAATATATCTTGGGAGAAAGCTGGGTGTAGAGAGGTGAGAAAAATCGGTTAGAGGAAGATGGGTGGAGATAAATTGAGAGGGTTCTAAGACAATAGCCCCCAAAGACAATTAACCCCAGAAAATTACCCCCTAGGACAAATTACGACCCCCCCAAAAATTGCTTTTATTAAAACCAACTTATTATCATGGTGGAATTCCCCTTTAATGAACGGGGGGGGGGGGGGGGGTAATGGTCCATGTAGGGTAATTTTCCTAGTGGGTTATTGTCCTCGGGAGGTGGGAATAATTTTCTGGGGGGTAGTTCAAGGCCAAGATCTGAAAACCGTATTAGACGAGAACCCCGGGGGAGGGGGGGGGGGGGGGGAGAATGCTCTAAAAAATAAAGTAATACCTACAAATATTGGTAAAATAGATATTGGGGGTAAATGAAATATTGTTTTACATTAGAAATGGTTTACGAGGCACACCTAAAAAGGCCTAGAGACATGCATGTCGGCAAGGTAGCCTATGTAGAAAATAGATGATGGTAAATAAAAAAGAAAACAATTAAGGTTGGAACATTAACATACAGAAAAAAGAAAAAGTGGAACATTTATAAGGTAAGAAAACAGGAAAAGTCAGTTGAATAAGTAAAGAAAAAAGAGAGAGAAAGAGAAGAAAAAAGGGAGAGGAGTGTAGATCAAAATAAATAATGAGAGAAACTAAGACAAAGGAGATAAAAGAAAAGACGTTGGCTTCAAGATAACAAGCAAGAGTTAATTTCAAAGCATTTTCTTTAAAATACCCAAACGAACCCAACACGGACACATACACAGGCGCGTACGCAGGATTTTTTCAAGGGGGGGGGGGGGGGGGTTAACATTTATAAATCCGTCCGAAAATTTCGCAACGACTCAGCCAGCCGCTGAATAAGCGGGGGGGGGGGGGGGGGGGGGGTAAGAGGTCACTTTTTTTTTTTTTTTTTTTTGGTCCCAAAAAAAATCGCAACGACTCAGCCGACCACTGAATAAGCGAGTGGGATGGGGGGGGGGGGGGGAGGGGGGGAGGGGGGGGGGTAAGAGGACACTTTTTTTTTTTTTTGGTCTCGAAATTTGAAAATTTGACATTTTGCTCCGTTGGGGGGGGGGGGGGGTAAGGTCAGCTTTTTAAGGTCAGCTTTGGGGGGGGGAATCCAAAGGGGGGGGTTAGGGGGGGGGTTTACACACAAACAAATTCCAAAGGGGGAGGTTAAACCCCCCTGTGTACGCGCCTGCACATACATGTACATATATCCTGAAATCCAAGCATTACAAGATCGTGAACTTGCAAATAATGATTGTAACTTTTGTCACAATGTTCAGAGAAGATGAATTCTTCAAGTAGGATCGTGTATTGTTCAACGGCTATGATTGAACTTGAAGATAGCATACCTTTTTTTTTTAAAGTATGGACGACGGAGGTGTTTATTTTTGGGGGTATTATGCGAATGAATGGATTTTACAGTACGACAAATATTATTAAAATATAATTGGCACTTTTGATTTTTAAAATCAAGAATATCAGATTCTATTCATTTAAGTTTATAAAGTGTGGGAAGATTAAACTAAACATGAGAAGTTACAGAGTTTGTATTACTTTTTTTTTTTTTTTTTTTTTTTTTTTTTTTTGGGGGGGGGGGGGGGGTCACTAAATGATTTACCAGATATTATCATTTTATAGAATAAACTATAATTATATGATTTGCACTTTGATTTCTTTCAATGACGACCAATCCCTACGAGAACTTTGTACAGAATGATAACTCTGTTGTTCTCAGGTCTACAGAGGGAGATAATATATCTTATAGCATATTAAGAGAGATAGTTGCGACACGTAAAAGGATATTTTGTAATTAGGTAATATAACATTGATTTGTTGTTGTACAAACGCCATGGGACCCCAATCACCCATATATGAATATGTATACCGGGGCTCCTACCCTACCATCATTCAGCAGGTCCTAATGAAGCCCTGTACCAAAAATGGCATTTGTACAACAACAAATCAATGTTTTATTACGTTACAAATTATTTGTGGACTACGAGGCGACGCAACTTTCCCACATCCTTATATGATATGTTGCCGGGGGCTCCTACCCTAATATCGTTTAGTAGGTCCTAAGGAAGCCCTGTACCAAAAATGGCATTTGTACAACAACATATACATGTTATAATTATTACCTTCTAAATTATTTAGGGGCTACGAAGCGACGCCCCCGCCCTACACCTTTATATGATATTCTTGCCGGGGGCTCCTACCCTAATATCGTTCAGTAGGTCCTAAGGAAGCCCTGTACCAAAAATGGCATTTGTACAATAACAAATCGATGTTATAAAATTATTTGGGGGCTCCAAAAGACGCCCCCGCCCCCACACCCTTAAATTGAATTTGTTGCCGGGGGCTCCTAGCCTAATATCGTTTAGTAGGTCCTAAGGGAGCCCTGTATCAAAAATGGTATTTGCACAACAACAAATCGATGTTATAAAACTATTTGGGGGCTCCAAAAGACGCCCCCGCCCCCACACCCTAAAATTGAATTTGTTGCCGGGGGCTTCTAGCCTAATATCGTTTAGTAGGTCCTAAGGGAGCCCTGTATCAAAAATGGTGCTTTTATCCGGCAAGTAACGATAATTTCACTAAGCCACCTGAATATATGGGAGGTAGTTATCCGAGATAGATATCCGGGTCGGATCTAGGTGGTGTAGTTTTCCTGACCCACACTTTACCAACCAAGACATAGGTCTTGCAAGCTATATGATACCCCGGGGGATAACCCAGGGATACCATTGGAAAACGTCGTTAAATGGTTAATCTTAAATCATACATCTCCTCATAGAAAGGCATTTCTTTTTCGACAATCTCTTTGATATCATCCGTGGCGTCATCGAGTGATGCCGAGGTCGACGACGCCTTGAAACAGGAGCTCTTGAAGGCATTGGCGAACCACATGGCGTACCTGGGAGAATCACGGACGTTCGCACACGAGCTCTTCCAATTCAGGACGACGTCGGACGACGCGTCCCATGACAGTAGACTCTCGGAGTACGGGATCTCCAGTGCGTCGCACAACCGCGGCAGCATCGCCGACGGGTTCTCCAGGACCTCATCGATGTCTACAATCACCGGGTCCTTATCCACCCTCTTCCTGATGTAGCTCCAGAGCTCGTGAATGGCCTGGTAGTTGTACGGCGTTCCTTCCCGCGGCGGAGGCAAGTCCTTGATGACATGGAAAGACTTCCTATCGGGAATTTTCATACCCTTAAGAGTCGCAGGATCAGCGGTTAGAAGGAAATTGAGCAGACCTTCGCGCAACGACTTGTAAACTTTGACGGGATGTCTGATGAGGAAGAAGTGCTTGATACCACTTGATCGGTCGGGTAGGTACGGATAGCGACTCGGTGGCATCCCAATCGCCATGTCTTTGATAAAGACAAATTTTTTAGCGGGGTCCAAATTGTCGAATAAGCGTTTCAGTGTAACCGGCCTATATGACAGGAAAGAGAAAGATAATCAGGAGAATAAAAATATCCGATTCAATATAAATTAGGATCAGACTAACAAACTTGGAAATGATTATTCCGCCAAACTAATTGTGTAAAACAGAGGTGAATAATATGGCATTCACGAATAACATCCTTTTTTTGTGCTTCAATTTAGTCTACATATTTTTTTTGTAACTCAAGAATAAAATGTGGACTGGTTGTATTAGGGCATTAGTTGAATAATTTAGAAATACAGTGCGTCCCAGAAAAAAACGAAACCGAGAATTATCGATGTTTTATCATAACTTAATCACATTTATAATTAATAAATGACACATATTTGGAAAGCGTAGATCCTCCTCTTTCATTAATGCAACTCATTATGATGCATATTTCACGCGTGAGTAATTTAAATCAATTTGAAGAGAGGGAACCGAAAAGTCATTTGGCGGCCGGTATCTGAATTTCAAAGAGAAAATCATATTTCTAGAAAGTTGGGTTTCTGCCATTTCATATGACTCCTCAATCAGGAAAAATGAGCTAGGAATGACAAAGTTCTGTTTGTTTGAAGTAGCCTTACGTTTCGTAATTTTAGGAAACAAATTCGTTTTCACTGCAGGCTGCCTGCCGTAGCAAAAGGAAGAATTGACAAAAGACTTACCTCCGTTTCGTTGACAATCAGCCATACATGAAGTATTTCGTCTACGGTTGATTGTCAACGAAACGGAGTTAGGTCTTTTGTTAATTTCGTTTGTTGATACGGCAGGCAGCCAGTGAAAGCGAATTCGTTTAATCAAGTTTTGGAAATGCAAGCACTACTTTAAACAAACAGAACTTTGTTATAATAATAATGATAATAATAATAATTATAATAATAATGATTTGGTTTACCCAGGGATTAAGCCTCATCAGCATTTAAGTTGAGGGCTCTGCAATTATTATTACTCCATCAAAAGAGTTCAATTCACCAAATGCTTAGGACTTTTTATAGATGAAGAATTGAAATGGTCTAAACAAATCGAAAACGTCAGTAAACTTACCCAGAAAAACATTAGCATGATAAAGAGAGCAAAGAGTTTTTTGCCTCAAAAATCCTTAAAGTTACTTTATAACAGTCTAGTGTTGCCACGATTAGATTACTGCTCTGTTGTATGGTCGAACCGATTTCATTCTCATACAACTAAGCTGCAAAAAATTCAAAAGAGGGCCGCAAGAATAATATTGAACAAGACATATGACACACCGTCGGCAGATTTGTTCACAAGTCTTAAATGGATGACACTAGACAAGCGGTTTGAGTTAAGTCGTGTTATGATGATATATAAATGCGTTCATAACTTAGCACCTTCTTACCTTCAGGTAGGCTTAATCAATCCTAATGATGTACATGAGCATCATACAAGGCAAATAGACAGTGGATGTTTACGTGTGCCTAGATTTCACACTGATTGTTATAAGTGTAGCCCAATTGTTTCTTCCATATTTGAATGGAATAAGCTAGATAATTCATTGAGAACGGCTTCCTCTGTCAATTTATTTAAGAGATTGTTTAAACAAAGTTGTAATTTGTGAATGGCCCAGCCGTATATACACTACGTGCATGTTTTGTAATATTTACATGACTTATTCACATAATTGCGACTAAATTAATATTTTCCTATTGACATTACTGTTTACTAGGTTTATGATATATGTTTATTTTGCAAACGAGTATTATTTTTGTAACTGTTCTGTATAAATGTTATAAACGATGTAAATATGTTCATTCAGGGCCCCATGGAAGACCACTACTTGCTGGTGAATGGGCTACCCTGTCAAAAGATCAGAAATAAATAAATAAAATAAATCAATTGCCAGGTACCCATTTACAATTTGAATTTGGAATTTTGAATGTAAAGACATTAGTGCTTTGGGATTCGAACCCTCAGGACTTGAATTGGGAGTCAAATGAATGAACCACTATAAACCACGACACCTCGGGATTAATGCCTTATCAAAGAGCATCACTGAATCGAATTGGTTTCGAACCAACTAGGGCCTCCCGGTTACGACGAGACCACTGCTCCTCTATGCTGAGTCATGCCGCCCCCCCATGAATTATTTAAAAATCATATAAAAGGATCATTTTGTTATATTCCTTACGATAACAAGTCGAGATGATCGCGATCGAAATTATCCCCTCCAATTGTCAAGTTTATCGCAGTTTCTCTAAACACGTCCTCGTTGCCCTCCAGCTCCAAAGGGAAGCTGCTCTCGGGGTGGTATATGTGATGGGTATCGTCGGCGGCCTTACTGATGACATACGGCTCGAGCCAGACTTCGGCGCCATCGACGAAGCTCATACATTTCGTCATTGCCGTCGATACGGACCGCGGCACGCACCACATGATCACGCGAGGGTTCCTGTGGTTGCCGTCATCATTCACCGCCGGTGATCCATTGGTGGACATGTTGGTGATATCTTGAGTCAATCTAAACCAAAAATATATATATAAATGTTGGGTAAATCATTGGCCAAAAGAAAAGTAGTATTGTTCGACTAATCGCGGGTTATAATAGGCTAACTTGCGCATTTTTTTTCTCAACGAAGTAAAAACATCATCATGATTTGACAAAAGATCGCCTTATTCGGGAATAAAATTGCCAATAAGTTGGTCGGACATATTATAATTACCTTTCTGCTAGGCTATTTTTTTGTTGTTCAGTGCTCTTCGTGATGCAAAAGCTTGTCAGAAGCTTGTATACTTAGCAACAACGATCTACACTGTATATAACGTGGTGATTCCAAACATATATGCCTTCTCAACACTTCTATAAAGCAAAGTTCACCAAACTTTCCTGAGATCTTGCCACTCTATGACTAAGAATTTGTTTAAAAATCAAATAAGGCCAACCAAAATTTGAGCAAACACCGATAAGATTGATTATATTAATTTACTTAGGACCGTCATAATATAGGTCGCAGCTTGACATTGTCATGACTATGCACTCTTTGATGGGCAATGGGCGTAAATATCTTACACTGAGTCCCACTGAGTGCAGCAGTATTACGCCCGCCCCTTCTCTGGACTCTGGAGTCTCGTCTCAGGAAGAAAAAAAAAAAAACTTACACTTCGCAAATGGGCCTCGTCATTTTTGTCCTTTCTAAAGTAGTTTCCTTTTTCATATACCAGACAAGTGCCCCGTCAAACTAATATTAGTAAAGTTAACCTAATATTCACAACAGTAACGCAAAGACCTGGTAGAAATCTTTGGAGAAATCAAGTCAAGACACCTCAATACAGTATCTTAGAAATCATGTACTTTAGAATAATACATGTCACTAATGTAATCATATTTCAATGGGTGACGAGAAGGGCCTTGAAATTGCAAGGGGTTTAATTTTCGGAGGTCTTTTCGATCGTATTTTATAGCTTTTCTTTTCTGAGAGAAACAAAATCAGCGTCTCGTTATCTACAAACTAAAAAGAGATTTGTCTACGATATAAAATTGTCAAATTATTAACAATAATAATTGTTAAGCTAGTGTCTTGCCGTTGTTTAATCCTTCCGATTCTTTGAAGATTTTTGCGATCTCAGTTGACAATTACAACTCATCATTCCAATTTTTTTTAAAGATCTTCTGACCTGACTAGAAGACAATGTGTAAAATCAAATAATTCCTGATTGCACTTTGATTCCAGCTTTGAGATCTATTTCTATTCACTCCAGTATGATATAGAAAGAGAGAGAGAGAGAGAGAGAGAGAAAGGGAGAGAGAGAGAGAGAGAGAGAGAGAGAGAGAGAGAGAGAAAGGGGGAGGGGGATAAATAGATCTTTAACTCTAACTTTATACCTTAAAGCAGTGGCGTACGCAGGATTTTTTCAAGGGGGAGGTATTAAAATTTTGAAATCGGGCCAATAATTTCGCAACGACTCAGCCAGCCGCTGAATAAGCGGGGGGGGGGGGGGGGGGAGGGATAAGAGGATTTTTTTTTAGGTCAGCCATTGGCATAATTTTTTTATTTTTTTTTGGTCTCGAAATTTGAAAATTTGACATTTTGCTCCGTAGGCGGGGGGGGGGGGGGGTAAGTTCAGTTTTTTTAGGTCAGCCATTGGCATAATTTTTTAAAAATCCACAAAAGGGGGAGGGGGTTTGCTCAAATATACACACATAATAAAAACTCAAGGGGGGGTTAACCCCCCCCCCTGCGTACGCGCCTGCCTCAAAGTAATTTATTGTATCACCAAGAAACATGAATATTACATTAAACATTCTACAAACAAATCCTGCCTAAATGTTAAATATTGTAATTTTAAAAATGCGTGATAATATCAACTTAATTCTAGTGAAATCTAGTGAAAACACATAAAGCATACATATACATGTAATTCATAAATACGTTCTCAGTATGTCTTTCAACAACAAAAATCTAATAATTGCCCCAATTCAAATCTGAGACTTAATACTTTTTTACTTTGACAAGTGCCCCTCACCCTCCTGATAAGTGCTCGTTTCATCTCGATGAGTGCCCCTTTTTTCACCTCTAATAACTGCCCCTTTTATTTTGACACGTGCCCCTTTTCCTTTGTATAAGTGACCCTCCCCCTTTTCATAAATACCCCTTTTTATCTCTGATAAGTGCCCCGTTTATTTGAACATGTGCATCTTTTTCTATTTAATAAGAGCCACTTCCACCTTCTCATAAAAGCCCCCTTTTACCTCCAATAATTGCCCCTATTAAACTATTTCAACTAATGCACACTTTCCGTTATCATAAGTGCCCCCTTTTCATTCCCATAAGTGCTCCTTTTCATATCAGGTTAATGCCCCTTTTCAATGCGATAAGTGCCCCTTTTCACCTCTGATACGTGTCCCTTTTAACAATGATACGTGCCCCTTTTCCTTTCTAATAATGGACATATTCCCTTTTCATAAATGCCTCTTTTTGCCTCCTATAAAAGCCCCCATCAAAGTCTGATGGTTGCCCCTTTTGATTCTTCGACAAATATCCATTTCCAATTCTCATAAGTGCCCTTTTGCGTAGGGACCTCTTTTTTTGTAAGAAGTGCCCCATTTTCAACCCTTAAAATTACCCTGTGTACTTTGACACGTGCTTCTTTTCTTTTCTAATAAGTGTCTTATCCCTTTTGATAAGTGTCCCCTTTTCCTCTCATCATTAATTAATTTCAAGCTACTTAGAGCATTTTCCTCACATATCCTAAAGAAAAATTATAATCACAATGTAGGGGTATATACCAATGTTTAATATTTTTTCCGCTTTGAGATTTCCCTCTGTATAGGTGCTCATTATTTCTCCAGAAAGTGCCTTTTTTGTTGTTGGTGCCCCCCCCCCCCACCCCCACCACTTTGGAAGTCCACGCTCCGCCGCCCCTGGGTAATGGTATTAATGTATTTTGTATACAAATTGATTCAATCCCTGTGTTTTAAATCCCCCCTCTACATTACGTCTTTCTCTACTGCTTTTACCTTTATCAGGAACCTACAAGCACCGCTTAATTTTCAATAGGTACCTCACAGTTTACTCACATGTGAATTTAGAAACGTGAAACCTTGAAATGCAGGAAAACCCCACTCTTTTTTTAAGCTTGGATAACAAAAGTCACGACGTTGGATGGAATAACCCCTCCCACACCCTCTCCTGTAATACGGTTGCTTTGCTATATACCTCGCTGCATGGGTAATTTTAAAACACCCCCTTGAAAAAATCCTGCGTATGCGCCACTGCTATTCGAGCATGATATAATCCAATCCTCTAACCTTATTATTATATTTCATTTGTTTCCTGTTAAATATCTTTACTTCAAGACAAAATATTGAATATCAATTATTATTTCCTTCTCCAACTTAATCGATTCTATGCATTGCATTGTGGCAAGCATTGGTTATGCCACGTCAGTGTAAACGCACGAGCGGGCGCTTCGAAATTTCAAGAGCCGCTTTATTATAATTGCGGGGATGAGAGTGATATATCAAGGTAAAAACAACCCAGACAGCCAAACGCATTATATTTAGGTTATTAGTGATGGAATTCATGTGAAAATAATTACGATGCAGCCAACAAAAATTGAAAAAATAATTGATTAATGCGATATATCCATACTAATTTGGCCGTGTATTATAATCTTGTGGGCGTAGTCTACGTACGATGAAACGAAAACTCATGAAACACAGAAAGATTAGATAAGTCTCTTAATTTCCGGTAACATATTGTTTAGACAAAACGAAAATAAATTTAAATGGAGCTCCTTTTCCTTTGCTCCGAATAAAAAGGGAAATTAGGTTGCTACTATTTACAAACTATTATTTTTGGTTAATATTACCCAAATATAAAATTATTACAAGGACGTCTGTTAAGTAGACTACCGTTATGTTATCGGGTATTTACGTATCGCGATGAATTTTCATCCCTGAAACTCGTGTGAATTATAGTTAAAATAACTCACACATATCGACTTGCTGGGTTTCTAAGGTCAACTCAAGACCTTAAGAAATTGTAGATTTTCCTTACGTAGTTTCATTGAAGGTGTTTATCTTCTTAACGTCATGTTATTGTAGGTCTTTCGCCGCGCCACACGGTCCCCGTTATTTAATCGTCCGAGTACACTCTTGCATTAGAGCCACGGCAGAAGTCCGGCAGCGCAAGACTGCTATGACGGTGAGGACCAGCTGCTGAGACGGATCTTTCTTGAATTGAATTCGTTTTTAATTTTATTGTTTGGTGAAAAGCCATTCTTCGTCATGAAGTGCATTAACCAATTGACTGTTTTTGTGCTATACCTCTCATTCAGAGGGTTTGAAAAACCAGGTAAGATTCCTTAGTGTTGTTAGACCTAGACCCCTAGATTATGTTAATTAGAAATCGTGAAATGTGCATTGAATTAATTTGAACATGTTCTTTGATATTAAATAAATCAATGGAAGTTTATAAGTATTACAGTAACACTAACAGTAAGTATGGTGTGATTATGTGTGATCGTGTTCACGCTAGACAGAAGTAACATTATGGTAGGGACTATGGCGGGTAATTCTTTAATAAAACTTACATTGATTTAGGTCTATTCCCCACACACAAACCTTGACCAGTGAGGCTGCTGCATGCACAAGGTCAAGGGGGGAGGGGTTCTACTATATCTAGCGAATTTTCTCCTGAAATTGTTGATATTGCAACATTGTTGGGATTTCTTTGACAATTAATGTTCTATTTGCACCATTGTAGTCTATGATTTTGCTGTCCATTTGGTTGTAATTGATCTTAATAAATTTCTCTAGATCTAGAATGCGAGGTATGGCCATAGAATATGATGGATCGTAGACTATATCACATTCTCAATTCTTTTAATGTTATAATAACTGATTTAAAATATACATGTATGTATCATAATTTGTCTATGACTTATCTTCATTCACATTGTTGTCATTTTAGTAGGGTTAACTAAAGTTAGATATTAAAAGTCTAATGAGTACTCTAGGGGTCAGGATTTTTAAATTATAATTATTTGTTGCAATTGAGTGATGATAGATGTAATGAATGATTGAGGATGTAACTTTTGTAATTTATCGATGGAATTTTCGCAACATGGGACAGAACCAGGAAAATGTGAGAAAATTGGAAGTTTATGATTGATTTATAACATAATCTGGGCAATGCAAAATAAACTGAGCTTTGTAACATAACAAGTTATGATTGATTGTATTACTTCCAAATTAATTGTATTTCTTTCGAGCAATCATGAATTAACCTACAATTTAGTTTATGTTACAGATGATACAATGCATGTGAGACACAATCAATTGACTGTAGAAAGATTGGAGATAGGATATTATGTAACTAATAAATATTAATCAATATTCATGTTACAGTGTCCTGAGTCTCCTGACCTTTCTGAAAAATATTAAACAGGCTGGAACTCTTCCATTTCTTAATTGAAAAGGGACCTCAGATTGAAGTTGCAATTTTTGTCTCACTTTTCTCAGCTTTTATCAATTTCTTTATCAATTTCCTCTTAGGTTCTACAACCTTCGTCTTAGCTCTTGAGGGAGTGAACCCAGGCAGTAGTAGCCCTCAAGGAAATCCAAGTTCTGGAGAGACTAAGGAGCTCTCACCCCAGGGTGATTCAAACATAAACCCAGCTGCTTCAAATTTGAACTCTGGAAAGAATGTAAATGTGCAATCTGCAGATTCACCTGTGCCCTCAAAAGCAGGTGAAGGAGACCCTTTAAATGTAATCCCCAAGCAAACTGATAATCAACAGCGGACTGTGGGGGAAGAGTTGATAAGAAAGCATCATTCAGCACCATCATCAAACTCTGAGCAACATCAATCTTCCAATGTAAAATTAAATCAGAAGCAAGCAAGAGAAGCGAGTGTAACTGATGAAAGGACTAATAAGCAAGTGCACCAAGAAGGTGATACAACCACAGTTAATAACCCACAAAGCAGTAATAATGGTGCTCCTGTCCCACCTAAAGAAACTGTCCAGTCAGGAGCAGGCAGTCAGCAAGTTAGTCAACAGAATGTAAACCAGGGTTCAAATCAACCCAATGTGGTGCAGCAACAGCACGTTCCTCAGGGTGATGATCAACCACTTGCTCAAAAGGGTAATGATCTACCACTCGCTCAAAAGGGTAATGATCAACCACTTGCTCAAAAGCAACAGCAGCAACATGTCCATCCTACACGACAATCAAAACAAAATCTGCCATCTGGGCAGCAGAATCAGGAAGGACAGACAGTATCTTCCCAAGCACAAGGAAATGTTGCAAAACAACAGCCCATAACACAACAGCAACAACAACAGCCAGTAACAAAACAACCACAGCAACAGCCTCCTGTAACACAACAGCAACAACAGCAGCCGGTAACAAAACAACCACAGCAGCCAGTACCACAACAACGACCTCCTGTAACACAACAGCCACAGCCGAATACACAACAGCAACAACAGCAGCCAGTAACAAAACAACCGCAGCAGCCAGTACCACAACAACGACCTCCTGTAACACAACAGCAACAGCCGAATACACAACAGCAACAACAACAGCCAGTAACAAAACAACCACAGCAGCCAGTACCACAACAACAACCTCCTGTAACACAACATCATCAGCCGAATACACAACAGCAACAACAACAGCCAGTAACAAAACAACCACAGCAGCCAGTACCACAACAACAACCTCCTGTAACACAACAGCAAAAGCCGAATACACAACAGCAACAGCAACAGTCATCAACAGTACATCATGAAGTAAAAGCTAGTCAGCAAACCCAAGTTCATCAACAGAAACAAACCCCACCCCAGCAGCAACAAGTGCCACAAACAGAATCCACTGGTGAAAAACAAACTTCACAATTTCAACAGCAACAAGCTCAACAAACACGGACACAATCCCAAGCACCCCAGTCTGTTCATAATCAAGAGAATGAGCAACAGACACATGAGTATGTAAAGGGTAGCTCCAGAACAGTTGTCCACACAGATAAGTCAGCTGATATTGTCCCTTCCTCGAGGACTCCAGCAAGCCCTTCTGATCCTAAGGAAACCAAGGGTGATACAGCCACCAGTATGACCAGCGGAACAGAGCAAGAACAGAGTTTAGAAGATGACATCAAACCTCTGGCTAGTCCACCACTAAAGAACATGGAAAAGGGTAAAATGATACTGCTAATGATTAATTTCACAACTCTTCATTTTGCCATTCTTGTTTTCAATGTTTTGTCTTGCTGTGTTCTTTAGTATCATTTGGATTTTCTTGTTGATCCTTATGTTGTATTCATGACTTTAATTCTTTCACAAATCAGTATTACATGTATTTCTTTTGTTCTCTTCAATTGAAGACTCAAATTGTTTTTGTTTTTTCAAGGAGATGAATGAAAATTATATGTGTATATCATTTTTAACACTAAGAACAGATACATATAGTATTAAAAGTGAGAGGAACAATAGTATTCACATTTTATGAATACTTTACGGTCAGTAAGCCCAAAATAACTCAGATTGGAGTACATACATAAAAAAATGCATTGTAAAACCAAAATCTTTTTTTAAATGAAACGGGCTTGAAGATTCTGAACAAAATTATGCAATTGTACATGTATTAGTCTGAATAATGTGATGGGGAAACAAATTTTACATTGTAATTTTTTTGATTTATAGTTATGTACAGTTTAGTTGCGATTTATCAGGAGACTCTCAAATCTGTTAACACTTTTAGTGAAAGATTAATTAACCAAAAAATTGATATACGGTACCGGTAAGAAGCTGTAACAGGGAGCACCGATAAATTTTTACATCTTCTGTTTCTGTTACAGAGAAAGAGAAAGTTGAAATACCAGTAGACCCTGAAACACAAGAGAGAATAAGGAAAGGTAGGTCATTATCAAATTCAAATTAAATATATGTTTTTATTGAAGTGCCTAGAGATTTGATCTTTTGATATTATTATATCAAATCTTAATAATATGATTGCAGGACCCTCAGGGAGAACGGTATTAATACTGATAACAAATATTATTGCTATTATAATTATTATCATCCAGACATAACAAGTACATGAACATGAAGTTATTCAGGAAAATAACCTTGACCTTAATATGAATGTATCAAAATTATCTTCATATTTGATAATACTCCATATACAACAAAATGACCAAATTCCTTAGACTTGCCCGATTTTGGAAAACGTTTCCTTTTACATTGAAATGTTTTTAACAGCATTCTGCAAACCCGGTACATGAACTGTATACATGCAGAATTGCAGATCAAATTTGGTATGATTCACAACTATTCATGGCAATTATGGCCCATGCTGGTTTATTTTGAAAATCACAATGACGGTGGCCTAAGGTCATGAGATAATACGTGCAAGCTGTTTCTTATAATTATCAATGTAATAAATTCATAAACATTTTAGCTTTCTATATTTAAGGAAGGCCTATTCTCACTATCTTCTTTCAGGTGAGGAGCTTTATCAGGAAGCTCTGGAGCTCATCAATTCTACTGAAGACCAGTCGGATCTGTAAGTCCCTGTAATGCAAACAAAAAAGTGATCATGAAATATGATGCAATTATGATTACATAAAGCAAGCTGTGAATGTAGTTTTGCAGTCATCTTTATCCACATGTTTTGTTAAGATTTTAGTTGTATTGTATTTTATGAATTAAATGTTCATGTTTACAATGCAAGTCACAACATTGGGTTTTGAAATCTTGAACAAAAAATGAAACAGATAAATTTAAGAATTTTAGGCTTTTAGCAGATGATAGATACATTATGTTACAAAATGGAGATGAAAATGTAAAATTGGGCAATAAGCAGTTACTAAAACCTCATCATAGTATCTTTATATGAAGGATAATTTACCTCATTTCTAGCTTTCAAACTACTTGTACTTGACTCTGCTGTGGGAAAAAGAAAAGACTGTATTGTTATTTATTCATCGCCGTTCTACTCGACGTTATTTGAATTTTTTAAATGTTGAATTAACATACTTTTCTAAAATGATTCTAATTCAATTTCATTTGACAGGGCCTACAAGATCCTTGTGAGGGCTGCCTACCTAGAGCATCCCAAGTCTATGTCCATGGTCAGTTTTTCCTTCTTGTTTGGTGACAAGTTACCCCTGAACCTGACCGGAGCCCACGATCTCTTCACCCGTCTTGCCGACCAGGGTGATCCACGTGGTCAAGCAGTAAGACATTCCATTTTCATGTATTTTATAGAATTGGGTAAGTGTTGGGTGTGCTATGAAGATAGAATTTTACATATGTTTAACTGGGCGTCTGTTTTATTCCATCTAATTCCCTGTTATCATTTTACTTTCATAAAAAACTGTGATACAGCTTGCCGGGTAGAGATGCTGCATTCTTAATTTAATCTGCTTGGAGCCAAAAGGACAGTGATTTTTTTCATCCAAATAATTTGATATCCTTTTTAATCCAAACAGATAACTTGTTAATAGTAATACATTTATTACCTGGGTTAAGAAAAGGGCAAGTTGGATTTTAGCATACAGAACAATTTAAGAAATTGCTTTTTCATAATATTTAGTGTCTGACCAGTGCTTTGATTATATATGAAAAGAAAAACGAAATGGTTGTTTTATTGAGAATCTGGTATTGGATTGTACAATGGACTATCCAATTGATTACCATTATGTTATATCTATTTGTTCAGGGTCTTGGTTTCCTCCATGCTACTGGTGTAGGATCCAACTCCAGTCAAGCCAAAGCCCTGGTCTACTACACCTTCTCAGCTCTTGGTGGCGATGCTTTTGGCCAAATGATGATGGTGAGTATAAAGAATTCTAGCAGAACATTGATACAAAAGGGTGATAGGAGCAATTTAATTGTGTGTACTGACACTCAATACTCCATGGATTGCAAAATTAGTTTTCGAATGATGTCTAACTGAAAGGGTTTGAGATTTCCTTTTTGTCTTCAAGGAAAGATCTTCTGCTGTTTTTATTTTTGTTCAGTGAAAAATGATAATTGATTGTCTGTCATTGCTATTAAATGGTGATGATACTTTTATCTACTACAATGTCTTTATTTTTCATTCTATTTCCAAAGACTCTGCTGCTAATTTCATATCTTTTATAATGTCATTGTCTGACTCTTTGATTGTTAATGTGGAGAAAGATCCTATGCTAATTTTCTTGTAAAGGATCATTCAAAGACAATGTACGATCATTGCCCTTGGCTCTCCGCTTGTCTCTAGTCCTCAGTAAAGATTTTTGTATGATAGATATAAGCAGACAGTAAGAATATCACAGAATTATATGCTTTGCCTTTGTAGGGCTACCGGTTCTGGTCTGGCGTAGGAGTAGCTCAGAACTGTGAGACTGCCATGTCGTACTATAAGAGAGTAGCCAGCAAAGGTAAGATGACTTTCCATCAATGATCACTTTTTTGCATGCATCTTTATGTCATGTTTCCTTGTATACGATCTTATCTTCACTTTCTGTATCTCTCAACTTCTTTAACAGATGTATACATTTTCACTTAAAAAATATAAACATTTTTCAAGCTTCCACTGATTGTTCTTAGCCTATCATACATGTATTAGTGACATGACATAATCATGCCTGTCTGTCCCTTTACACTGTACTCTGTATTGTGGGAAATAAATACAGATTGTAAATATATTTGAAAACCTTTCTGAGCAGTTTTTACTATTTGAAATCTAAATGCCCTTGTTTTTCAATCAAATTTAATAATCTTCCCATGGTGAGAGTGCATTTTAAAATCATACAGTTTTACTCCTTTTTCCTGTAGACAGGCCCATTTGATACTTTATATAGTTTGATGGTGTATGTATATGTAAAATGTTTGTTTCGCTTCCATCTCTTTCTCATCAGTTGCTGACAATGTAGTGATTTCTGGAGGTAATATCATGGTGCGAGTTCGTCTCTTTGATGAGAATGAAGATCCAGACCCCGATGCTGGAATGCTTGATGATGATCTCATTCAGTATTATCAGTTCTTAGCAGACAAGGGGGATGTGACTGCACAGGTACAATATATATATATATATATATTACTTTAATTGCTTTAATTATTACATGTTATTACCTATTTTGTTTCCTGTAATTTTGATGTTTATTTTGTATATTGTACAAAACCTGTAATTCGGCTTTCGAACCGTGATTGATTTTTATGCCTCCGTTACGAAGTAGCCGGAGGCATTATGTTTTCGGGTTGTCCGTCCGTACGTCCGTCCGTACGTCCCGTTCTCGTGATCGCGTTATCTGAAGAACCGATTGATGGATTCCTGCCAAACTTTGGTCATGTATGTATCTTGCAGAGCCGATGAACTGATTAGATTTTGGGGTCACGAGGTCAAAGGTCAAAGGTCACAGGGCTCATTATGTATGCAAAAACAGCTCGTGATCGCGTTATCTGAAGAACCGATTGATGGATTCCTGCCAAACTTAGGTCATGTATGTTACTTGCAGAGCCGATGAACTGATTAAATTTTAGGGTCATGAGGTCAAGGTCAAAGGTCATGCGGCTCATTATGCATGCAAAAATAGCTTGTGATCGCATTATCATTAGAACAGATTGATGGATTCCTCCCAAACTTAGATCATGTATGTATCTTGCAGAGCCAATGAACTAAGTAGATTCTTGGGTCATGAGGTCAAAGGTCAAAGGTCATGGGCTCATTATGTATGCAAAAATAGCTTGTGAACGCATTCTCATTAGAACTGACAGATGGATTACTATTTAACTTGGGACATCTTGCAGAGCCAATGAACTGAGTAGATGTTAGGGTCATGTGGTCAAAGATCAAAGGGTAATATATGTATATGAGAAATTGCTTGTAATCACGATATTCTGAGAACCTGTTAATGGATTACAATTGAACTTGAATTTGAAGAATTTCTTCTGTTTTGGTTTGTAAAATTGCTCTATGACGGAGGCATCATTTCGACTGCGCGCAGTCGAAGTTCCATCTAGTTATTTCAATTACTACTACTACTACTACTACTACTACTCTTCATATAGATCAGCCAAGATAATTTTTTTGGCTCATTATGCACATGCTTTCATCAATGTTTTACATCTAAGCAATGTATTTTGTGTATTAAGAAGTGAGGTTGGCATGTAACTAGAAAGTGTATAGCTTTAAGTGAAAATGCATTAGAATCTGTGATGTTCAGTTTTAAAAGTTATTTTAATTGGCCTTTACAAAACAAAATACCTAGATATACCTTACGTGGGGTACTTAAATTTAAATTAAGTAGTAATGTCATACGCATGCTTTTATTTGGTCTTTTTTTTTAAATCCAAAGTTGAGCTGTCAACTTGGCAGATTTTTAAAAGAACTACTATCCTTCACTTATTTTTGAAATGTTTGCTGCATCCAAAATCTCCCATAGTTAGGGGCAACAGAACTGGTCAAGATGCCCTTGGCTCGCAGAAGAAAAGATGAATTATTACATGGTATGGTGGCTCAGTGGTTAGAGCGCCTGCCTCATAAAAGACTTATAACAATGGGACCTTCTGCCTTCTAGCTAGGTGCTCAGCATATTAGATTGGAGAAGGGTAGTAATAACATATTATGTTATGCAGGGCCCGCTGGAAGAGCAGTTTCATAACTGAAGTGGCTACCCTGGGTAAATAAAACGTTATTATTAATTTTATTATTGACAAAATTTGAGTGTTAGATTTCAGTGCTGACTGTCATTTTTCTTGTCACACCAACTAGGTTGGCCTGGGGCAACTCAACTACCAAGGTGGTAGAGGAGTCCTTCAAAACCATCAGGTAAGCAGGAAATACATTGCCATTTGACTCTGTGAGAAGAGTGTTTTCAAAGTACGGTAGAATTGTCCATATACAAAGACCACCAAGCTGTAAAAGTAATTAAAAACAAAATTCAAATATTTTGTAACCGGCATGGTTCACAGGCAATATGTGAATACAGTAAAGCTGAAACAATTGGGTAATTTGCAAGGATTGCGCGCTGTGTGCAATATATGAAATCCTTTAGAGCAAAGCATTCTACCACAACACATTCACTTTAATATGTCCTTCTTCGTCCTTAGCATGGTACATTTATATACTAAAAATGCATCTTACACATAATAACTATCCAATGTCTTTTTCCTACAAGAATGGGAAAATAGCTTGTAAATTGCAGGTTGGGACTGTCACCCCTGACCAGAATACAGATCGTCTCTTCATATCCACTTTAATTTAGGGAATATCCAACCTTAATAGCAAATTGTCCTGAGGGAAGCAGAGAAATCAGAAGGACAGATTTGTAAAATTATGAAAATTAAATGAAAGAGACAATGAGAAAGGTATGATTTTGTTTTTCAAATTTGTAATTAATATACATATGGGGTCTTCAAATTGGCCAAATTACAATAATATGAATAACAAATTAGTCAAATACCATTGTTTACTTTTTATTTTGATACAGAGAGCTTTTGAATATTTTACACAAGCTGCTGAATCTGGTGATGCTACAGCTCAAGCCTATCTGGGAAAAGTGAGTATTACCATTGTAGTCGGGATCTTAAATCTTAAGGTGCTGCATCGTGTATTGCAATGGGTGTATTAGCATCAAGCATATATATGTCAACACATCAACATTATATGAAAGTAGAGAAAGCATTAATTTTCCTAAGGTAGAAAAAGTAGTACATCAAGTCTTTTTACGATATGAAAGATTTTTTTCTTTTGTATTATTATTGATAGTCTGTCCTTATTCATGTCACTTAGAAAAGAAAAACTTTCATTCAAGCTTAATTAAAATAATCTACCTCCACTTTAATAGTAATTTGTAACTTTATTTTAATCCATTTAATACTTACCTGTTTTCATTGAATACCCACATTTCTGTTTGGGCTGTATGATTTATTCTACGCTATAATAACATGTTTTTTTTTATTTTTTTTTTATTCAGATGTACTCTGAAGGAGGCCCTCTAGTGAAGCAGGATAACGCTACAGCCCTGAAGTATTTCAAGAAAGCAGCTGATCAGAACAACCCCATTGGACAGAGTGGACTAGGTCTCCTGTACCTGCATGGACAAGGAGTCGAACGGGTAAGCTATCAGAATGACATCTCTGTAATCCTTTGGGCTAGGTGAAGGTACATCACTCCTGCAAAATGCAAAGGTTCACAAAAGGAAAGGTAACATTGTTTACACGTTTTCATGGCGTAGCGAGGAAGATACAGTGTACAGGAAAAGAAAAATACAATGTACACGTATATATTTTTTTTAAATATGGAATAGTATCTTAATATTAAAGATAAAGTTGGGTTCTGGTCATGCGATTCATTGTGAAAGAAATGCTGTGGAATCGATCAGAAAAAGTTGATAATGTAGCATATAAGTATTGGTGTGTACTGCAAGGTTTTGGAGTCATCAAAATGATAAGAAATTTGGCCTAGTCTTGATAAAGTAACAAGCACTTTTATATACAGAAAGCTGACTATGGGACTACACAAATATGTGGCAAAAAAGTCGGGCCTCGTTTTTAAGCTGTTACTTGTCATATTTAGAATATGAAGGCATGCTTTTCAGGGAACATTTTTTTTCTCTGATGTTCTTCCACACTTGCATAATAACAATGATAACGCTCACAAATTATTTTTCACCTCTTCCCAGAACTTGACCTTCTCTTTAATGCAAAAACCTTTAAATGGTTGCTCTTGGGTTTATTTTAATATTTTTATCATTTTCTATGAATTGTTTTACAGGATCATGTACAAGCATTCCAATTCTTTCAACAAGCGGCAGATCAGGGTTATGTAGATGGTCAGCTTCATCTTGGAACCATGTATTACAGTAAGTACCTCAAACATCCTCACACATTTAAAGAGACTGTAACTCTGTTTGAATTAATTTCTTCCTCTCCCCAGTTCTCCATTTCTCTCAACTAATAATTGCTCTTTTTTCTTTCTTTCTGCTCCTTCTTATAATATATCTCTCCTTCTTTTTTATGTTTATTATTCTACTTTTGCATGTAGTTCTGTGTTTCCACCTCTGTCATTCCACCATTTTTCACTTAATAATACTTTAAAGGTACATACATTTGTTTAAGAATGCATTAACTGATAGTCCTGACAAAATCAACTTTACTGCTAGCCATCCGTTTTCATTTATCCTTTTCTAAGGTCTACTCTCCATCTTATAAAACATTGTGGTCTTTATTCATGGGATCTATGATGAAAAAGTGTTATGTCCAATGCTTTTTTAAGAGTGATTTATGAAATGTATTACAGCTTCAATTTTATGTATTTCATTTCATTCATTTCATTTCATTTCAATCTTTATTCCAATTCATAAAAATACAACAACATCAAATATAAAACACAATAGCATTATATACAACATTTAGTAAAAATGGTACAAAAAATAAATACATAAGTTTCATAATAATATTGTAAAAATGAATGGAAAAGGAGGCGTACGTAAAAAGCCAAGGGTAGGCTTGTAAGAGTGTACGACCCTACAATTTAAATAATGTATGAATATATATTGCAAAAAAATAACAAGTACCAACAATACTGTATCATCATATACCAAAACACAAAATAAAAAATCAACAAAAACAACAACAACAAAAAAAATCAATAATTTACAATCAAATATTTTTTATATTGCCTTTTAAATGAGTTATTAAATTGAATATTAAAGTTACTTAAATTTAGACTATTCCAAAGGATTGGGCCTGTGTGGCGTAATGAGTATTTTGATTTATTATTTAAATACGTCCAACGGTGAAAATGATTGCAAGATCTTGTATTATAATTATGGATATTTCTATTTTTTACAAACATATTCATTAAATATGGGGAGAGTGTTTGAGAGTGAAAACGTTGCATAAACGAAGCAATTTGGATCTTATTTATATCTTGTAATTTGAGAGTATATAATAATTTAAATAATGTGGAAGTAGAAGCAGTATACTCGGACTTCGTACATACTCGTATGGCTTTCTTTTGTAACATTATTAGTTTATGTAAATGGCTCGAATATGTGTTACCCCATATTGAGTTACAATACGACAAGTGTGACAAAACATAAGCATTATAAAGAAGAAATAATATGTTACTAGGCAATTCATACTTCAATCGACTTAAAATCCCTATGAATCGTGAAATCTTCAAGCGTACTAAATCAATGTGATCCTTCCAAGACAAACTACTATTTAATACTACACCTAAAAACTTAACAGAATCATAGAATTTCAAAGGAACTGCATCTATTTTCAACAATATATCATCGACATTAAATTGCACACCACCCTTTTTAAACAGAACACATTGGGTTTTACTAGTATTTAAAGAGAGCTTATTACATTTAAACCATGCTGATATGTGGGCAAGACTTGTATTCAAAGATTCAACTAAAGCTTCAATATCATTATGAGAGGCAAGGAGTAAGGTGTCATCCGCATACAAAATACAGTCACATTCATGGCAAGAATTCACAATATCATTAATATAAATTAAAAATAGTAATGGTCCAAGAATTGACCCTTGAGGGACACCTGTGTTTATATTACCGAAAGACGAATTATGTGAGTTATAAACTGTAAATTGTTGTCGATGTAATAAATAAGATTGAAACCATTTTAAGGAAAGACCTTTAATGCCATAATGCTGCATTTTTTGTAATAAAATATCGTGTGAAAGGGAGTCAAAGGCCTTGGATAGGTCCATGAATACGCCAATAACACTTTTACCTTCATTAAGTTCTTTAACTATTCTATCATGAATTTCAATGACTGCCATGTCTGTTGAGTAATTTTGTCGGAAGCCATACTGACTATCATATAAAAAGTTATGCTGCAATAAATAGTCATATAATCTATTAAAAACTAACTTTTCCAAAATTTTAGAAAAACAAGGTAAAATTGAAATTGGTCGATAATTTGTAAAAAGACTCGGGTCATCCTTTTTAAAAATTGGCACAACCTTAGATATCTTCATCTTAGAAGGAACACAACCAGTGCGTAATGATGAATTACAAATATAAAGTAGTGGTTCAACAATAAAAGGTAGTATATGTTTCACAACTATTGAATCAATTTCATCAAAACCACAACTTTTACCAGATTTAAGATTTGACTTTACAATATCTATTATTTCTTCTTTTGTAACTGGTTTAAAAAATAATATATGTGGCGATGGTTGGCCCATATAAACATTAAATGTATCAATTGCATTTTCATCCTCCGCAATACAATTAGCAATATTTGATCCAATGTTCACAAAATATTCAGAAAGTGATACCTACATGTATACCCTTAGATCAATAAAGACATTTTTCAGCAGAGTGTTCTTTTTTCTTCTTACCTATTCAGGTGGATTGGGAGTAAAGCGAGATTACAAGATGGCGGTAAAGTACTTCAACCATGCTTCTCAGTCCGGTCATATCCTAGGCATCTATAACCTAGCTCAGATGCATGCTACGGGTACAGGGGTTATGAGGTCATGTCATACTGCTGTCGAGGTGAGACTAATAATGATATTAACACATATATTCACTTTTCTATTGTGCTGACTTACCAAGGTTTGAAACTTCTGGCACTTTCAAATTATTCCATATTTAGCTGCGTTATTGTTAGTAAACCCACTGCCTTTTAGGAAATAATTCCAACCAGGTACCCATTAACAACTCCTGCAGTGTTTGTGTTCGATGCAGTTAAAGTTTGCTCCTTTTTTTCTGCATATGAAGTTAATTTGCAAGAAGCTACCTTGGTCAGACTAAACATCATTCAAGTACGTATATGCAACAAAATATTGCCTTTTTTTAAAAACATGAGCATTATAGTAATCTCCAGGTATTCCCAAAGAGAAAGAACTTAATCCTACCACATCAAAGATATTTATATTGTCATGCTCCAAATTTTAACTGTTGATTAAATCATTACATTTTCCTATTGCCTTTCAGCTGTACAAGAATGTTGCTGAGAGAGGAGAGTGGTCCAGACTCCTGGAGTCAGCCAGGAAAGCCTACGTGGACAGGAAGATCCATACAGCTCTGCTACAGTACTCTTTCGCTGCTGAACTTGGATACGAAGTCGCTCAGAGCAATGTGGCCTACCTATTGGACAGAGGTAAGAAGACGAGGGAGAAGACTGCACATACTGTAGAAGGGGTTATAACATCAGTCTCTGACCCTCATAATATGATACTACCAAATGGTTCTAAGGAATTTTTCTAGCAACTAAGATCAGCAGGAACGTTAATAAAGAATTTAAAGGGGCACAATTTAGTAAGTAAAATTAAGCCTGTACATTTACAATTTGATGTACAGCAGCAATCTCATAACTGCTCACATCTGTAAGACCTGTTTTGTGGGCACTGTGGTAATGACATTATTTTTAAAGTGCCTTTTGGTTAAAAAAAAGATCTCCTAGTTTGAATCCTTCCTTGATCATGTCTTTAGAAGACATTTTTGTCTTCACTTGTCCCACTTGACCCAGATATGGTTACTAAAGTGCCTTGGGTGCATTTTTAGCAGCATGGCTAGCATAAGGGTAAGGTTGTGACAGTGCCAGTAGTGTTACTTTGTGCTATTCAAGAAGCAATTATTATTATGTACTTATGTATTATGTAATCCATGAGGAAAGAAAAATAGCAGTATAGGATACTGGTCTATTATATTTAGTGACAGAAAATAATCTAAGTTTTTCATGCATTGGGCAGGTAGTTTAGGCACCAATAGAGAATAGAAATGTTATCATACAGGGAATAATTTTCCTGGTATCGCATCGCAATTTGCTATGCATTTTTGCATGACTGCTATACAAAATATCTTTTGTGTAGCAGTTTTCTTCCATAGAAATGTACAGAATTTCATTTGAAATATTTATCCATCGGCTGAAATTGCTAATCAAAAAATTTGAGTAAAATTATTCCCTGTCATATAGTTGAAAATTAGTTTTGAAATGATAGTTTGTGAGTGTTTATTATCAACTTTGTTTTACATGTAAGTGTGTCATTAGATTTACCATTACGTGAGTGTTGAACAAATATTGTAGTGAACAATTTAAGTTAGATATTTCTGATTAATCATGCATTTTAAACCAATATGTAGTATTATCATAATGTTATATCATATGATTTTAATTTCATCAGGTGAAGTAAACATGTTTGGCTTCAATGAGACATACCAGAGAGCTCTGCTCAACTGGCAGAGAGCCGCTGCACAAGGTAAGATAGATCAGTGTCGATGCCTGGATAGTATAAGATTTCTCATGATATAATAATAATAATAATAGCTCACATTTATAATGCGCCTAATTCTTTGTTTTTAGGCGCGGAACATATTATTACCCGGTCATCGGATTCAGGCTTATCCGCATTTGGTAACTGATTAAAGTTATAATAATAATAATATTGGATATTTATATAGCGCACATATCTACCATGCAATGGTGCTCAAGGCACTCCAACTTTTACCCGGCTCTGCTAGGCAGCCGATTTCGGCGCTCACAGCATTCAAGGAATTCCTTCGTACAGGTACCAATGTAACACCTGGGTTGAGAGTGGCACTGTTCATTGCATTGGATTGACAGATTTAATGCTGCAATCAAAGATTAATATGAAATGAACAAATGTGGAGAATGTGAATGTTTTTGATCACCTAAAAATTTGGTGATGGACGTGTTTGTGTTATAACTGTAAAACTGTATGTGAGATATCATTTTGAAACACCATTTTCCCTTTCTTTTGAACAGGCTACACCCATGCTAGAGTAAAGCTAGGTGACTATCACTATTATGGTTACGGGACCGATGTGGATTATGAGGCCGCAGCTCTGCATTACAGACTTGCATTTGAACAGCAGCACAATGCACAAGCCATGTTCAACCTGGGCTACATGCATGAGCAAGGATTAGGCCTTAAAAAAGTAAGTAGAGTGACTTTCTTTTTCTTTGGCATGTTATCTTCACTGTTATTAAAAACACTGATATCACCATACACATCATTACTATCATCATCATCATCTTCTTCATCTTCACCTTCACCACCTCCATCATCATCATCATCATCATCATCATCATCATCATCATCATCAGTGTGACCCCAAAACTACTGCTACCATCTACAATGCCCCACCACACCAGACTCTGTCATCACTACCACCAGCACCATTCTCAACATCATCATCATCATCACTTTCACAACAATCACCTCAACCTCTACCAAGTCTACAATTACTATTGTTACCATTCCCACTGATTGCCCTTTCTTTTTCTAGTCATTCTGCTTATTAGCTTTACAGAAAGGATTGTACCTTTTATAATTTGTATTTGATTCACCTATTTTCAGAGGTTTTTTTCCTGTTCATTCTTCTCGTCAAGATATTACGGTTCATCTGTCATTATGTTGTCACATATAAGGTATTAATAAAAAATGTTTTGGTATAAACACAACCTGATGCTCATCTTCTAAGTGAAATCTAATTCCGCTTTTGAAATTTCAGCTAACTTTGAGTTAATTGTATATTTCAAGAAAACTTGAACATTAATTGTATCACTTTTTCAAACAGAGAATGTTGTGTGTGTGTGTGCAATTGATTTTTTACAGACATGTATGTATCAATCACATATGATTATTTGCGTCTGGGGACCGACTTTTAACATCACCATCCGAAAGACGTGACTCAGTTTTCAAATCTTTGTCCTCAGCTGAATCAGTTTGTAACTTCCATTATAAGCTGGATTACAGGTGCACGCCACAACGCCCCCATTGTGACGAGAATGTTCATTTCTTGTTAGGACCTAAAAATTAATTTAAGAGAATTAGAGAATGATCTAGAGAAAGTCTATACCACTATTACCAGTAGTCTAGAAGTGAGCAACTTGAAGTCATGCTGTAGTGTAAATTGCAAGTTCATCTTAGGTCCAAATTGCTTCTAGATAATCTAGATGTAAAAATACATGTAATGTTCATTCTGGTGGGTGTATCTCCAGCAGATTTTGTATGTCATTACGAGTACACCTTGGCCTGTTGATGACCTTAATCCTTAAGACTTTTAGTGCCAAGGATGGCAGTGCCACTAGGGAGTAAGCTGGTGTATGATTTGTTTGATGTGAAAATAGCAAGATTTTTCTTTTGGAAAAAATACACATTTGTAAGGGTTCATAACTTCATAGATGTGGAAAGTTGATCCAATTTTATTATAAATAGGCCCTGTTTTGCCATGAAAAGCAGGGATTGGACAACAACACATCAAACGTTTAAAAGTTGATTGTGGTTATATGGCCTCCTGATGAACTTGAGAGACACAATCTTTGAGGTGCATGTCTAAAGGGATTTCAGGCGTAATGATGTGTTTACGCAAACATTTATTTCTAGGTTCCTCATTATGAGTGACTGTCATTGTGCTTTTATTTGAATTATTTAGTCTATATTGCGAAGAATGTTAGGAAATATATGAAAGATGGATTTTGAATAAAAGCCATTATTGATCTGTACCTGATAAAAGAATAGCCTGAGACTAACTCAAGATATGGACAGGTATATGATATACATTAGAATACTCTCTCCTAGCTCTTATAAATTCAGGAAGTTCAACAGAGAAGTGATAGATGAGTTGAAATTGGGGAACACTTATTAATCACGTCATGTCAATAAACAATTTTCACTCAGAATGTTTGTACAAAGACATGAATGTCTACACTAATATCTCGTTTATGAGCAGCTCTAAGAGGCTGACTTGAATTCACGTTCAATCAACTTGAAGTAATGTTTGATGGCGATTGATAACTCTATTTGGACCAAATCCCCTCACCAATCCTACTGCTTAACCAAGATCTACCAAATATGCTGTTGAAATGTTAACTATCTTGTCAATCTAACTCTCTCCTCTCTAGAGAATAAGGATCACCAAACAACCAATTGGTATGATCAATGCTAGTAGGTGATGATGCATGTGTGTATTAAATCTAGATTGCTACATGACATTTATCTTGGGGAGGGGGGGGGGGGGGAGGTTGTCACATAACTTGTTTCTTGATGGGAAGGTTGCTACAAAATAGTGTATCTTGAGGAAAAGGTTGCTACAAAAATGTATACTGTATCTTAGAATAAAGGTTGCTACAAATAATAATAATAATAATAATGAACATTACTTGTATAGCGCATATCACTAACACAAAGAAAGTCCCTGTGCGCTTAGGAAAGAACGAAAGAAAGGTAGTGCAGAATAGAAATGAACATTTATGTCTGATACATGAAAAATGTTAATTACAAACAACAATAATGATACGCAAAAACGTGTATCTTGGAGAAAAGGTTGCTACAAAAACGTGCATCTTAGGGAAAGTTTGCTACATAACTTGTATCGTTAGGAAAGATCGAGAGAGATAAAGGGAGATTGGATTCTAATCCTGTGAGTGCACGTGGTAGAATGGAGGACAATGTTAAAGAAGGATTAACAAAAAGGGGATCATTCTGCACAAATCTTCCACAGCGACTTCATGTACATTAAGCATGCAAAACCTTTGTCAAGGAATTAAATGGGAGACTTTACAATCCACTGTCAAAATGATAAATACTTTTTTGAGTCATTTATAATCTCATAATCATAACGACATGATAAAGGACAGAAGACCTCGTATGTGAGCTTACACATTACAATTACATACAAAAGGTACAATCCCTTTGTATGCACAAGCAAAAGAAATTGTACTGGATAAGTTGATATAATTTCTACCTATATTACTAGTAATTCCTGAGGTATAAAGTAGGATGTTGGAGATATGATTTGGTTTAGGAAAAAAAAGACATAAGGGCAAGATTAGTACAAAAATATCAGCATTTAATGTGTTCAAAAATGGAATTGAAATATAATCATCCAGATTGAGTTCATGTGTTGAAGGAATGGATTATCAGTGTTGTACATGTTGTACTGCCGTGACCACACAGTTAACGTTTGGTTTGGTAGGATCACTGTCTCGAGCAACATTTCAAGTTTAAGCAAAGCTATAATTATTCAGAATTTTAGAAGATAGAAAGTGCTTTAAAAATATATTCAGTTAGTATAAAGTACTCTTATGTTGTAGAATTTGTAGTAATGTACATCGTACCTTTAAAAAAAAAAACCTACATGTAGAACACATTGATGCCATTAGATTGAGGTTTATTTCTACCACTAAGTTTTAATAACAGAATCTTGTGAAAAACCTATTAATAATATCATTTGAATGAGTTCCCCAAATCTTGTTGCAAGAAGTTTTACAACTTGTATCTTTGCTATGTGCAGTATCAGTTCATAATAAATTGTTTACACCTACATGTAGATATATATATATATATATATATATTTTTTTTTTTTTTTTTAAAGTACATGTACATGTACATTTAGTACAATCATATAATTCAGAAAGAATCCCATCAATTTTTTCTTTTAGTTATTTATCTCTTGTCTTTAATATTGATTAAAGCCTTCTTAATCACCGTATAGGTCTGTCCCCAGAAATATTCACAATCACCTGGTTTTATGTGGGTCAGAGATAATATGGTCTTAAGATGTAAATTACATGGATTTGGTTTAAACTGCACGTGGATGTTTCCTCCATTACATGTGGGCAGTGATTGAGTTGATTGGTCCTGCAGATCAAAATGATTTCCGGGGGTTGTTTTGTGACCATCTTAAAGACTTAGTGAATCAGATAGAAAATTTCTAAAATGCATCTAGACCTAATTAAGATTTTCAAATTAATTTGGAATGGAGGCATACAGTGAAAACTTTCAATAGATAATTTATTATTTTTAGTGTAAAATATGCTCCGATCTCAACCTCTCAACCTAAACATGATCACTTCTTGTATATTTGTGTTGTTAGGGTAATGGGTCAGATGAAAAATTTGTTATCCCCAGTTATACAATGAAAGATATGGCCCAATACAAATATAAACATACTGTACAAAACCAGTAAACAGTCTGAGACCTTTTTATAGTAGATTGGCAAGTATTTGTATGTTTTTGTTGCTCAAATATTATAACAAATGTTTGTTAGCTGATTCAAACTGTTTTTCAACTAGATTTGGATATGAATTGCCTGTAGACAAAAAAGTTCAATAGAATAAAGGTAATGTAGCTTTAATATGATATCTTTATGTGCAGTATTTAATAGGCCCTTTCAAAACCTGTTTGAAAAATCCAGGTTTCTTTTTACAAGTGGCTGTAAATTATCTGCAGACTTAGGAAATGACCCAAGATGGTTTATTGTGTTTACTGTAGCAACGAGAGAATAATTTATTACACTGGCATTTAACTACTGACAGAGGGAAAGCTGTCCACTTAAGAAGAAAAATGGCTCTGCCCCTTTTGTGAAGTTTCATATACCCTGGTACTGGATTTATTTTACATGCAGTCAATATTGCAGAGTTTAAGGCTGTATAGATTAATGTGAATTATAATTTATAACATTATTGAGGCTTACCCATTGGCGAAAATCATGCTGCCCAGTAAAAATCAAGAAGCATAGATTTGCCCTTTAATATCTAATTGAAACACTTATGAACACTTTTAAAAACAAAAAGCATCTGGGCTCTGAGAAAATTAGAGGATGAATTTAAAGCCTTGTGCTCTTTTGTCAAGTAAATTGTGCAGCTTTAGGGACCTGGTAAATTTAAAAACAGTCTGATTAAGGAGATATGTTGAAAATATTATCTCAGAAAATATAACAGACCTATATCTTATCTAGAATCCACCTTTTCATGTGGGGCCATCACGGGTGGTATGTTAATGATGTATTCCTATAATGAAATTTTCTCTCCATTTATACTTAAGTAACCTTTTTTCAAGCTCTTTATTTCTATGACTTCATGAGAAATTAGTATTTGTTTTATTGCAAGTACACATTTAGACATCAAAGTAGGAAGTACATTTCATTTGATGAGGTCCAAAAGGGAGTTAACTGATGCAATTTTACACAGATTATTTTAATGCCCTTCTGGCTTTTTAACAGATGATTTGAATCAATCATTTATTGTTAGTTGAGTGATAAGGGAAAATATTAGCTCTTTTGTTTTAATATCAGGCTTTCTATCTTTTTCTGAAAATTGTAATGAATACATGTTAATCATATTTTATTAATCATATTTATTGTAACTGTCTGTGATTATTTCTTTTTAAAAATTGATTTGTAAAAAACAAAATTCTGAATGGATAATGAATGCTTAATTTCAATTTTATTTTTTAAACCTTTAAATAAAGATAGGCTCGGAACTGTGTTTTATTGTCAAATGTAATCCTAGATGATTTTTGCCCAAATTTGATCTGAAATAATTTTTAGAGAAAGTGTGCAATAAATCATAAATCACAATATGTATATTTGTACTTCTATTTTTATTTTGTTTACCCTTATGATTATACCTTAAATATTGACATGTATTGTAATACAGTACAAAATATTTCTTTCCTTAGCTCCTGGCATGCTGTTTAATGTAGCAGAGCCGGATACAAGTTCTTTTATTACATCAATAATCCATAAATAAACTTACAGTCTCCTCAGACAAATCTATCACTTGCATTCCTCCACATACCTGAGTACAGGTGTATGTCATCAGCCTTCAAAGAGACTAGAGCATTAAAACATTAAACCTAGAAGTGCTCGCAAAAGAAAACATAGTTAATGTCATAAATTTTCTGTTTTGTGTTGCACCTGTTATTAAAAGTGGGGTCGAAGACATAAGCAAGTTTAGATACCTGGATATATTCACTAAGCCCATTTACATATCCCAAGCACCATTTGAAAAATCGTTGGGTTTTGTGGACAGCCATTTACACTATTGGAAGAACCCATAAAAAGCGTTGAGTGTTTGCTCATACTGATGTTTGGGTGAGTAAAGGGCACATGCGCAACTTTTCGCTACACGGCGTGAGATCGCACAAGAGCGAGGATAGTCGTGTGACGAGAAACCCGCATCGTACCAAAGTAAAAAGTTTAATTTACACTGCAAAAGTCGCTGAAATTTCGGCAGACATGTTTTATTCTGGTTTTTTCCCAGTTAGTTAATTAGTTTGGTCTTTCCCAGTTAGAATCATGAACAGACATTTTGGTAGTTTTTTCAGTCTCATCAGCGCCTTTGATTAGGCGACTAGATATTGGCGCTTTATAAATACCTGGATTGGAATCGGAATTGGAATTGTTGTGTTTGCTGGTAGTTGCACGAAACACCAGAAAGTGAGAACAGTCAACGATTTGCATGCAATGTAAATGCACCTATTCCTTACATACATGTAAATCTAGTGGGAATGTAGCATCCAGGAAGAGGGATGGCTTTCCAAAAGCCCATGATCCTTTGAAAATCAGGGCAAGGGACGGAGGATAGAGGAGTTATTTTGTAATCAACATCTTTGTGTTTTTCATGATGCCGCCACTATTGTTTAGTAGCATGATTTTTCATAGATTTTCTATTGTTTTTGTAGTGGAATATGAATTATTTGACTTGATTTGATTTGATTAGATAAGTGAATGATTTTGATACCCCTTCCCCTCCCCTCCCCTCCCCTCTCCTCCCCTCAAATATTTATTTGAAAGTGTTAACTATAAATAGTGTCCACTTGAGTGTAGATACTAGATATATATATATAACATAACTTTATCATTAAAAAAATAATAATAATAAACAATCACTTGTGTGCCTGGTACTTGGATATGAAGTTAACCCTCTTTATTTAACCTGTTGGACCTGTAAAAATAAATTACATTAGCATCAAAAAGACAGTTCCGCACATGGGATCTAAGAATGACAGCAGTTCAATAACAGTACTTAAACATTATAAATGATTTCATTTATATTACAGTAAAAAGCTTGCATTAGCAATATTTGGGTCACACATGTATTGGTGAATAACTAATTTTTAGAATGGCAAGGAAAAAAAAGAGAGAAACAATGCCCTCTTCCCCATCAGCTGTAATTACATTTTGATTGGTTATTTGATATTTTTCATTTGTTTTAATTGAGACTTAGGTTTTTTAATTGAAATTGAATCCTTGGATTTTATCTCCTCACAGTATTATTCCTGCCTCTGCTACCATACCCTTTCAATGAATTAATAACTTAAAGAAAGAGATATTCATTTGACCTATAAACACTGATTAATACACTTCAAAACAATTTACTCTGGATCAGTAGAATTAGTGTTGATGGAAATCACTGGGGGAGGAATTGGAATTTTAACCAAAGAACTATTCACAGTCTTGATGTTTATTTACATGTGAACCTAGAAATTAAAAGGTTTACCCAGAAGAGGGAAGCGTAGTCATATGCTTGTAATTCTTGCTCGATATTTTAGTTGATACTGAATTCAAAGTTTTTCAAACCAAAAATAATATCTGAATTATTTGTAGTGAAATTTTTAATTATAAAGGGATCATGATTATCAATGAATCAATTTCATTATTATTCCCTAAAAGGGCATGTGGGCAGACCCCCTCCCCCATATATCTTTACTGCAAATGTGTTTTTTTGAAGGTTTTTTCCCCACCAAAAGCATTCATGTTATAGCAGTAAGACTTGTGAATTACATGCATGTTAAAACAAAATTTGTAAATTGTCAGGCTTTCAGCTGGGAAACTACTGCACAGTTTTTTTTAAAAAGAATCACCACATAGACACTTTGTGATGCATTTCATGCAGAATCTTCACCTGTGAAAAAAATGAATAGATACTGATAATTCAAAATCTGAAAACAGTTTGTATGAAAGTATTTAGCTGTATTATAACATACTATGTTTATATGAATTAATTTTTGTGACAATGTTTTATTGATAACTTTTAGGACATCCATTTGGCGAAGCGTTTCTACGACATGGCAGCGGAGGCGAGCCCTGATGCTTATGTACCTGTTATGCTGGCCTTGATGAAGCTAGGTGGCGTCTATGCTTGGGAGTACATGCAAGCGGTGAGTTAAAACATGTTGTAGATCGGTCTCTGGTCAATAAAGAAGTTGCTTGTCTTGGCATCCACTCTAGAATTCAAGGTTCTGGCTTTCAAACCATTCAAGACTCAACAAAAGAGGGCACTGTTGTACAAAACAGAACAGAGCCATCTCAGAAGTATAAACACTTTCCATTGTAGACAGTGTTATATGGTGAGAAAATGCAACTTTGGTAATGTCAGTGAGTACCAAGAGTCTGTGTTATTTATTGATGGAAATATTGGTTGTGTATGTTATAAAGCAGGTTGGTGGTCATTTATTTTATCCTTTTACATCAATCTTTATTAGGATTAATGATGCATTTATTGAAAGAAGCCATATTGTTTACATATGAAATGATATATGTACTTTATGATGATGATTGAAAATATTGACATACAATGTACATGCATAGCCCATTAGGCTGCATAAATTGTAAGTCAGCAAGAAGACTAGCTAGTCATTTGTCTTTCATTTTAAATTTATACCCATTAGTTTAAATTACCTTATTTTCCACTTTGCCACCTTTCATTTCCTACGATATACATGGAGTAAGACCACATTAAATATTTGAAAGATATTATTATTGATATTAGTGTAAATTTAGACTAACAGTGCTTATGTGAACTATGAAAAATAACCAAAATTGAAATTAACCATTTATCCATTTGCTGAAAAATGCGTCACAAGAACAAATTTTAAAGGAAAATTAGAGATATGCTTGTGAAAAAGATATGTGAAGAAAAAAAATATTTCATTTTCAGAATCCTTTTCCAATGTCATCTTATATCTCTAAGTTTTGTTGCTCTTCCTAACCCAGCACTATCAGTTTTTGTCTGTGAATCTTTCTCTAAAAATCTGCCCATTTTTAAAATCTTTTTTTATCTGCCCCTCCTAATTTACTAGCTAAATTGTTCTTGTGATACATCATTTTTTTCTACTTCCATTTCAAGAAATAAGTTTAAGAAAACTCACTTTACAGACATCTTTCAATTTTAAACATTGTAGAAACCTTTTTTTTGTAAATTATATCGTATATGTCACAATGCTCAGCTGGACGTGTACTAAAGGAAGTTAACCCTCTTGAAAGCCTCTGATATCTTTCTGGGAGTGGAGTGACCAAATATACATATATACACCTATTAAACTTTACTATCGGGAAGCTGCTACAGATGCTAGAATACTGCCAGTTATGAATGTGTATGGCCTCTAGATGGTCGTGCAGAAATCACTCACATGTGTCCATTAGAGTATTAATGTTAAAAGGACAATCAGTCAGCATATTGAGCAAAGGAGTCTGGCTCTTTTTGAAGATTGCTTTCCCATGTGGGTTGGAAGTCTGAAGACTGCTTTCAACATCTTTCTGGCTTTTATGATGCCTGATTGTGTGTCCATTCTGCATTCTACTGAGAGTGCAATCATTAGAAGTCAATAACCCATTGTGTGAGAGACTGGACCTTTAAAGATTTTTTTATATTTTATATAAAATGGCCACCTTTCACCATTTCTATTCTTAAATTCACAAAAATGGCACAGGACACATGATAAGACAAATATGTACATGATGGGCTTATGTTGTTGTTGTTGTTTCTTCTTTCTTAAAGGGGACGTCTACCTTAATATTAACTTGATTTAAATAGGAGCAGTCAACTTTCAAGAGAAACTAGTCATCAAATTTTTAAAGATAAATTTGAGAAAAAAAGGGACCAAGTTATGAATTCTGTTTAAGTTATGTAGATGACAGTACTTATGAGCAACTGTGTGACTTCCTCTGCCCTCTTTGTGAGATATTGAGAATGATGGGAAAATGTAAATGTGTGATTTTTATGTGCATTTAGGCATTGATAAATATAATCCCAGGAAGGTATCAGAGACATTTGACAGGGTTAACATCCTAATAGTTCACATGCAGACATATCCAAGAGCTTCAACTGTAGTTCACATAATCCTCTTGGCGGGGGTAAGAAGAACAGAGGTACATGTACCTTACCATGGCCATTAATAGCTTTCAGCACAGATACACCATGAACACAACATGTACTGAGGGAATGTTAAAGATGGGAAAGAGAGAGAGAGAGAGAGAGACCTTAAATTGCTTTTGTGATGGCTTTGTTATGCTTGCTTCTTCACATTTAAACTAACAAGGATTTTAATGGTACAGTACACAATTGTGGTCTAGACTATGGCCGTAGTTCCTCAAATAGCTGTTATTGTCTTCTAATTTGCACATGAATGTTTGAAAGGAAGTTGAAACACTAGACTTCATTCACGCCATGATGTTTACCACAAACTATTTTTATTCTTTTGATTGATGAATTTCATAGTGTAATATTTCATAATGACCTTGAACTCTCCAGTGAGGAAATAGCTTGCCCTTTTTTGCCGGACGGGTCTCTCCCCCCACACAGAAACACAATCATCCATTGATCATTTCTCTTCTATTACTTAAGTAGACCATGGAGATAGCCCCACCCCCCCCCCCCCTCTCCTCCCCTATGTAGCCTTACTCTTCAATACCCATGTACTTTGAGTTCTCTGCCATGTTATGATGTCTTCTTGAATAGAGCTATCAACCAATTCTCCCCTGATTGGAGCTTAGGGACCGACACATGCAAGTTGCCTCTACTCCTAAGCAGCGACTAAGTGGCGTAATTCTAGCTCCTTTATGAGGCAAATTATCTCTAAATATGGCTTCCACCGTTGCATTTCATCTAAAGACTCTTCTAATAGTTCAGTGATTATTGTAATGCATTGCATTATAGTATTTGGAGACATCTTGTGTCTGGCAGAGTCGAGTGTTTTCTGACAGTGGCTCCAATGCAATGCATATGGTAATGATTGAATTAGCTTCTTCTTCTATTTTTTTTTACAACAAGACATTGTTTTTCAAAAGTGCAACTATTTTCAAGTTATCACAGAAAATGCGTATTCCATTTTTATCTGTGAAATCATAAATGAAGCCCACCTCTTTGTGCAATATGACTTAATTGTGTGTAGATAATTTAACTCAGACTCAGGCCAAAAGTGTGGGGAAAAAAAGAATTATCAACTTCATTCATTGTGAAACTGAATTTAAACTAACAATTTACAACTAAATTATAGTTATCCTTTGGACTCTAAGTTGTTTCATTAATGTAGAGCACAAAGCTGAAAATACACACATATAACATGTGATTTAAGCTTCTACCAACTCAAAGATTTAGCACTAAGAAATCTTGCACCCACTCCTGTGGACTTTCTCAAGCCACCCTCTACAATTCCTTTTAAAAAAAATGACTTTGGAAAAATATTCTTTTTGTAGTCAAGATTGAAAAAGCCCAAAAGACTAAAAGCTTTAACAAATTCGCCAATTTGTAAATAGACCACCATCTATAAGCTCATCATACAGTGCAGTGTGCTTTCTTGTCTCCATTTAGGATTATTTTCCTGTACAGTTTTCTGTATTTTCAACAAAAAAATTCTCAGTCACTTTCAGTTTTTCTGAATTCTCAGTAGAAGCAATGATTGAATTTTCCCTTGTGATATGCTGAGATAACACGCTGTGATTAAATGAATCTCTAATATCATTTATTATACCCTGTTGGCAGTTGTGTCCTCCTGTGTAACATGTATCTTGTGGCTTGACTTGCAAGCATAACATGTAGTGACGTTTTCCTCAAAGTTGCATATACAAAACATTCTTTATATGATATGTAGACAGTTTTAATGTTATTTCCTTGTAAGTTTTTTTGTTATATTAATTTTTCTTGTTTGTTTGTATTTGGGTTCTATTTAGTGGTTCAAAGGTTCCTTTTTAACCCTGTCATTTCTTTATATTACTTACCACACTTCTAATGCTCTTTCCACTGATACCGTTTTTCATATTTACTGCTGAAAGCAAATTGAGTCCGGATTAAGTCCAGATCAATAGTTCTGCACCCAAAATCCTGCTCACAGCAGCAAGACCACATCACATCTGCTATATGCATTTGTTCCTATGGTTTCTGAGGTCTTCTTTTAAGAAAGGCCCACCAAATTGGACTTTCCGAACAAAGGTTTTAGATTTAAACCGTTTAATTGTAATGCAATACTTTTTGTAATGAGTTAACCCATGTTATATCAGTGTTCAAAATCAAGAGAAAATATTGAGCTTTTGGCATTGGGACCGTGGGCAAAGAGGATGGAAACATAGAAACAGAAAATCATAGCATAACATCAAAGGATATCATTTGGAAATATAGAATAGAAGATGATGAAAGAAAAACACAATTAATACCATAAGTAAATGTAGAGAGAGAAATCGATAAACAGATAAGAGTAAAAAATATTATAAGGGAAGATTGAAAAGATGCTGACAGAAGGATTGAAACAAATGATGAAAAAAGGAAATGATAGAACGAAAACAAAGAATAACATGGAAATATAGAAGAGAGAGGATGAAAGAGTAATTAAAGTAGAGAGTAACACAAGGAGATATGGAAAGAGAAAATAATTGAAGAATACAAACAAAGAATGAAATAAGGAAAGGGAAGAGACAATGATAGGAGGATAAATACAAGATAGCATTTTAAAGGAAAGACAAAAACACCATAATAGAAGTATCAGATTAAAGATAAACATAAGGACAAAAATTAACGAGAAAATGATTGAAGCATAAAACAAATAATAAAAACATGAGAAAATGTAGAAAGAGAAAATTATAAAAGCATAAAAAGGATTTAACTGCATGTATAGGGACCGTCAACCCCCTTTCTTTTTGGGTCATTGTTAATGTATTCATTCTATTGTACTGGAACATGATATATCATGGGGTGAGATCACTTTAAAAATGTATCCACCATTTCCATTTCTATTGAATTGCAGGAAAACTTTTATTGTGGGTGTAAAAGCACCAACAATACTTTCTTTCCTTACCAATCAACGAAGCCGGAGGCTAGGGGAAGGGAAGATGTTGAATAGCTTTAATTTAATGGAAAATATGACCAGTGGAGAATAGAAGTCTCTCT